GCTGTGATGTTGTATCGGCCCTTTATACCTCGCTTTCTGTAGCAATCCAACTCTCGATGGTTCGAGATTGGACACAGGACGAGTAGAGCGATGCGTGAATTGTACAAACACAGCCAAAGGGCGAAGACGATGCCCATCTGCAGCTTTTGAATCCTCGAATAGACGATGCTCTACCATAAGCGGGCCATAGCTGACATAGGGTGATCTAGGTATTACATTCTTTTGGCAGTATGCGTACTAGCTCGCGGAGAGAAATGGATCAGAGATGTCTGCATAGCAGCGGCATTGATCTTACCGGCCGTGGCTGCGGTGCATGGGATCGTTCTTGCTGCGCTCCACGTAAATGGTTAGTTTGGAGCAGAAAGGTCCCTAGTTTCTATCTGACACTCATTGCCTAGACGCTGCCGATATGGATATCTACGGGGCGCTTCAATTCTGCTCCATTGGCATTCTCGCAGTTCCGTTGACGGTCAAGAAGTCCGAGACGTACTTCCACGAAAAGGGACGCAACACTGTCTTTGTGTGGACGAGTCTGTTACTAGCAGGTAGGAAGCTAAACCCCCCAGAAGACGTATTTGCTCAAAGTTTGACCAACATTTATAGGTCTCGTGAGCTTGGCTGTCGAGTTCTACCGATCCAATTCCATTCCCTGCTATCAAGACAACAACGGCAATCCAATATCGTCAGACCCGAGAAAGTTCCCTTACGGAGACAGTCCATTATGCGGTATTACCTGTTCCCAGACAGACGGGCCGTTTTCTCGCTTGAGGCAAAAGGCTGCTAGTGAAATTTTCGTGGTGCCGAGGCCGAACGAGCTTCGATTTGGAAACGCCATGTTTCTAGCGGTGGCATGTTGCGTTCCGGCCATAATCTCGCTCATCTCTATGAGAAACAAGATCGTTATCACCGATTGGATTAAGAGGCAGAACGGGCCGCAGAAGGAAAAGGGAAACGAATCCGATGAATCCAAGGATCTACACAGAACGTTTAGCGGGTTCCTGAATCTGATCGAGATCTTCGTTTTTGGCGGCGCTGCCTTAGCCATTCTCATCCTCGGAGAGATCAATCTTTGGAGCCCCCAGATGGACTATCATACCGAGCCATTTGGAAGCGTTGGTGAGTTATATGTGCCTACGGGATGTCTCTGTCGCTGACCAGTTCTCTTCCAGGCCAATGGGGCACCATTGTTGCAACAGGGCTAGCAATCGTGGGATCATTCCTCATTTACCTCCTAGACGGTATAAACGAGGCCCCGAAAGACCCGCTTAGCATCTGTGGCTGCGAACACTGTCGATTGATCTATGATCGGGCTCGAGAGGTAGACTCGGAGTCTTTCCAAGAAAGTGAAGATGGGCATGCAGACCACATTGAGCATGGCTTGCCGCCACTCACGAGCACGTCTACGCGCGGAACTCAGGCAACCAAGCAAGGTCCGGGACATAGACGAAAGGTCTCTGCCGGCCTGGTCAAAGTTGGCAAATGGTTCGGCAGCACTACCGAAGATCCATTTGGGGCCCCTGACTACAGGGAAAGGCAGTGGCCAGAAGTTCCTGGAGAGCGGTTCAGAAGTTCCGCCTTGAAAGACACGGCTGAACAGTACAGCACATACCGAGAACATGAACCACAGGAGCCAGTATCACCAGGACACCACTCAGGAAGCGAAGGCGGGCCCGCGACGCCACGACCTATATCACCCATATCACAGGAATCGCCATTGTCGCCTCCGCCACCGAGCAGAGCTAGGCCAAGGAACAACTCGGAGCCTGTTTATTCACGATCGCCATCGCGGCGGCGACCAGGCTCGCCTTCTTCTCCGGCTGGATCGCCCGAAGGCCCGCGAACTCGACGCCGGCAGACTCTCGAGGTCCCTGGGCAACGTCATTTGTGAGTTTTCAAGACAACTGGAGGTGACCGAGAGCAGCTGAATGCTGTACGAGTTCGGGATCGAGAAGTGCTGGGATGACGTATTTAGTTTGAAGATGGTTGGCCAAATCCGTTGTGAGATTTCTTGTTCTCCTTTGCCCGCATTTTGGGAGGCGTTCGGTGTCAGTGCTGCTCGATATCCGGCCAGAAGTACATAAACGCCATATGTAAGAATAGGAATAGCAGGATAGAAGTTTGATATGAATGAGCGGCTCGCTTTGGTTCGATACTATGTCTGTTGTGCCCTCAACCGCGTTAACTTGCAGACGGGACATTTGAGGCCGAGTTTCAGAGCCGATGAAGGCAGTCTGTGATGGTCTGTGCTAAATTACCTAAGCCACATAAATGGCGACCAGGATAATGCCGAGGCCTACCCGACGGCATCCCCGCCAACGGACCGGAGCTAGACCGGGGTCGGAGCTGGGGAACCAAGTCGCCAACATCGATGATGCCGGTCTCGAACTTGTTCAACAACTTCCCCGCGAAAGCTTGTCCTCATTTCTTTTATGATTTTGTCTAAAGACCTAGACAATGGCTTCCTCATCACTTAGAATTTCCTCCCGGATAGTCTCCAGGGCTGCGCGGTCATGTCCGCAGTCCTCACGCCTTCCGACGGCGTGGCGTCGGTACTCATCGGTACCGAGCAATAAGCTGCCGCTTGAGGGGTATCGTGTGCTGGACATGACGAGAGTTTTGGCTGGAGTAAGCATCATTACTCCCGTACTTTAGAAATTGGATGCTAACATTGACGGATGTAGCCATACTGTACACAAATTCTGGGAGACTTGGGGTCAGTTGATCTCACTCATCTTCTCACGCTAAGCAACTCGTACTGACGCCATTGAAGCGCCGAGGTGATAAAAGTCGAACATCCCGTTCGCGGCGACGACACTCGAGCATGGGGTCCTCCTTACGCAACCTACAAAGCCGGCTCCTCCAAAGAAGGACCCGGCGAATCGGCCTACTTCCTCGCAGTGAGTATCCTCCAGTCACAGATATGAACCGAGCTAACTCATCCACACAAGGTGAACCGCAACAAGAAGTCGCTAGGCCTCAACTTCCAACACCCCTCCGGCACAGAAATCCTCCACAAGCTCGTCTCACAATGCGACATCCTCGTAGAGAACTACCTCCCCGGCACTCTCAAAAAGTACAAAATGGACTACGACACCCTCCGCGCCATCAACCCGGGCCTCATCTACGCCTCCATCACGGGGTACGGCCAAACTGGCCCGTACTCGGACCGCGCGGGCTACGACGTCATGGTCGAGGCCGAGTTCGGGTTGATGCACATCACCGGCAGCCGCGACGGGGAACCCGTCAAGGTCGGCGTCGCTGTAACGGACCTCACGACGGGGTTGTATACGAGTAACAGTATCATGGCGGCGTTGCTCGCGAGGGGGCGGACGGGGAGGGGGCAGCATATTGATGTGGCGCTGAGTGATTGCCAGACGGCGACGTTGGCGAATATTGCGAGCAGTTGTCTGATTAGTGGGAAGAAGGATTCTGGGCGGTGGGGTACCGCGCATCGTAAGTTTCACTCGCTGCTCATTTTTTCTCATACAACATGCTGACGTTGTGCAAGCCTCTATCGTGCCGTACAAATCCTTCAAGACAAAAGATGGCGACATCCTCTTCGGCGGCGGTAATGACCGACTCTACGGCATCCTCTGCCAGGGACTGAACAAACCAGAATGGCAGCACGACGCAAAATACGCGACAAACGCCCAGCGCGTCGCCAACCGCGTCGAGCTCGAGGCGCTCATCGAGCAAGTCACCGTCACCAAGACGACGGCGGAGTGGTTACGCGTGTTCGAAGGTAAGGGGATGCCGTACGCGGCGGTGAATGATGTGCAGGGCACGCTGGAGCACGAGCATACGAAGGCGCGGAACATGGTTGTCGAGATGGAGCACGAGGAGTGCGGGCCGATTCGGATGGTGAATACGCCGGTCAAGTATTCGGAGAGCGAGCCGAGCGTGAGGAGTGTGCCGCCGACGTTGGGGCAGCATACTGATGAGGTTTTGGGGGGGCATCTTGGGTTTTCGGAGGAGAGGATTCGGGCTTTGAAGGGAGAGGGTGTGGTTGGGTAGGGGAGAACGGATATCCGCTGAAGTGCATCGCGAAGTTTCTTCAGTGAGCAGACAGGCTTGGCGATCGAAAACGCCCATAGCATCCCACCTCCCGAGGATTAAGGATTGCAATGAAGTCCTGTGCGTGTCATTGCAGCTTCTCAGGTGCTAGGAGGAGGCACGCATCTTGATCCGATTAGCCAACGACAACATCATGCATCAACGATCAAATCCGCTTCTTCGGTCATGCGAATGGCCTTTGGAGGGGTTAAAATTGCAGTGCTTGCGTGTGGGATGGTGTCTCAGGTCACGCCATCCACGCCCGTATCGATAACCTTCTACATGCCCTGCCATCCTGCAAACTAAGATAACCGATTGAATGGTCCTTCTTCGAGATCCACAACACCTTTGGGGGGGTTAAAGTTGCAGTGAAAACCCCGAACTGCACGATGATGTAAATCAAAACCAGCCCCAAGGTCTTTCGTGCATCGAAAGTGAGAGAGATAAACATAAATCTATTCCCTCGTGAGAAGAAAAGAATTTACACGCGAGTCGAGAGTGCTGCCACGTATTGTGCACGTTGCGTTGCTGGTCCCCGTTTTCCTGCCTCACCTTGGTTAGCCCTGGCTGACCGAGGGACTCCAAGGTGGGAAGGCACGTAGGGTGCGGGCCTTCTCGGTGAGCTCGGTAAATGGTGCACGTGACATCCGCGACTCACAGTGGTCGCGTGTTTGATGGCATTTCTACGGTTGACTTCCTGCGTACACAGCAAGCCGTCGTTGTTTTCTTCTTTCTTCGAAACAGATACCCATTATGTCAAAAGTTTTCTCTTCATAAATTGATGGGCCAGTCTTTCTATTTCTAGCTTCCGCATTCTGAGCTGGAATTCCTCGTCCTTTGCATCACCTTCTTGCTCTGCTAGCTTCACCAGCATTCGATAGCTCTCACAAGCCATCCACACCTTACACGCCTGTATCGCGGCACAAGCCGCACCTTTCAATCTCAACATGTCAGACCCATCGGCTTCAGACCTTATGGCAATCGATGCAGAAGCTACAGATGAGTTTCAATTCGCCGAAATTGATACCACAGTCGAAATGGAAGTCCTGCCCACGACGACCGTTCAAACACAGCCAGAAGATGTGCAAACAGCTCCCGTCGAAGCCGAATCTCACCAGCAGTTGCCTGCGCCGATTGCGCAAATAGAAATTGAGCCTGCGCCAATTGAGCATCGCCATGATGTACAGACACCGCCTCGTGTGTCAACTCCTCCGCCAGCTATTGAACAGCAGTCGTACCAGCCACAGTTCTCTCTTGCTACTTCACGATTCATCATGAGTCGTCACAGAGGCGCTACCCCAGCATCACCACCGCCCCATCTCGTCGCAACTCCTCCTCCTCCTCCAACTCCTGAGGTCGCCCCAGAGGAAGTCGAAGATACACCTGTGGACTACTCGCACCTGCCTATGACCGTTTATCTCCCGTACGCAGAACCCCAATCAGTTCCGCCCAGCTCAGTACCATCTTCTGGAGCAAAGCGGAAGCGCGCGGCAGCGGAAGACGAGGCTTCCCGGAAATCCGTAAACATCCCCGCCTACCAGGAACCCGCAATCCCCAAGCGTCCCGTACCTAGACCGCCGGTGAAGAGGAAGCGCACCAAGGATGACGGCAGCGGAAACCCAATGTGCGTCAAGTGCAACCGCATCTCCGCCACAGACGGCAACCCCATCGTCCCCTGCGGCTGCGGCGAGGCCTGGCACCAGCTTTGTCATGACCCAGAGATCTCGGCAGACGCCCTGGGCGGCGGTTCCTCCAAGTTCAAGTGCGTCACCTGTAAGGAGGAGGACAAGCAGCAGGCCAAGTATCAGCGCGAACTTGCAAAGTACCGCGAGGCGAAGCAGGAGCAGTCGGAGTGGAAGAGGCACCACAACGATGTGGAGAGGAAGCGCGAGAAGAAGCTTGCCACCCTACCACAGTTCCCTAAGCCGAGCCTCATTGGGTTTGAAGGAGGCAGTGCCAGTGCCAGTGAGGTGAGTGTCATAGAGACAAGCAAGAACTTTAGACCCAATCTGACGCGCTTGCAGAGACGAGAGTACTTTGCAGATCTCAAGAGAAGCGATCTCCTCAATCTCCTCTTATTCAGCGAACAAATCCACCCTGGCCTCCTTGTAGACGTCCTCGCCTCTGTCTCTAAGAAGCACCCCGACCTGCCTCTCTTCGGCTCGCCAGATTGGGCTGAACCAAAAGTTGTATGTCTTCCACCCTCATCTGCCCCATCCTAAAGTATAAGGACTAACACAATACAGCAACATCGAGAGTCACAGCCCCGCCGCCAGCAAGACCACCGCCCGGCTTCCAAGCCCTCGAAGCAGCGGTCCAAAACAGGCGGCGTCCGCAAGATCCTCAAGACCGCACCCACCGGCGCAGCCGATCAAGCAGAGGCAGACGCCGAAGACTCGGAGGACGCACTCCCCGAATCCTGGCCTAAAGCCGGACATGGTCTCTACCAGCGGCTGAAGTCCGAGAAGGATGACCCGATGTTGTACGACGACAACGACGAGGAGGCGTTCAGTCACTTCATGGTTGACAAGTATGGGAAGCAGATTATGGAGCCTCTTGCGGGTTAGCAGCCCGGCAATCCTCAGTATGAGAGCTTCGACAAAGAACAGCGGGACAAGGCACTGGGATTTCTGCACAAAAAGTTGGCGGGCATTACAGATGGCGCTGCTCGTGCGGCGGCGACTCTTGGGGACGTTGATGCGCAGATGGTGGACTTGACAGGCGAGTCCGATACGGAAGCAGGCTAGCCACCTGCGTCTACCACGCCCAAGGCTGATGCCATCGAGACCTTGACGAAGGGACGGCAGACGAAGCGAAGCAAACAGGCTGGCACAGTCGTCGCTGACGAGACCTACTCTACATCCAAAGAGATGGCTCACATGAAGCCATGGCACCTGTAAAAGGACCCGAAATCAACGCAGAAGTCTAGGCAGGGAACATTCGATAGGTGTAGGATTGTTACAAATGTCGAGATAGAAGGAAGTCTTTGTAGAATTGATACCCGCAGCCTGACTGCATTACATCAGCAACATCGTCTCACTCCTATGGTGCTTCTAAGTGCTTCCTAGAGAGGCAGTTTGAAAGCATGTGATGTAGCTGTCTTTGATATGTTGGAGTTGGAACTTGAAAGTATTTGATGCAGCTGTCCTTGAGCGTTGAATTTGACGTACTAAGACTCACTGCGCGCTGATATACCCTCACGACTCAGTTCACATAACACCTTTTATTATCAGTGCATAAGAATGGAATGATGTGCTGCAACAGACGACGTCTGACATACGTCCGTCTATCATTCATGCTCCCTGAAAAGAAATCAGACGAATTGAGGTAGATACTCGGCAAGACGAACCGAAGTCGCCATCAGACGGACACGTCGTCCTATATGCCACGTCACATTTCAGATGCAAAAATAAGTAATAGTTGGCATTTGATATTGATTATCATTAACTAATGTAGACCTCTTTTCGTGGCTGTAACTATGCTATGCCAGGTATCTTGTTTCCCAAGCCTCGTACTCCCGACGATCGTCATGCAGGCCTCATAAATGCAGGCGGAGGTGGCGATGAATCCTCGTTTCCCATCCCATTCCCCGGCCCCGTCCCACTCGCGACGGAGTTGACGCTCGCGCTCACGCTGTTCTTGACTCTTCTCACGCCCATCCTTACAGGTAACCCAACCCTCTCCCTACCGACATCACCGCCGTCGCCCTCCTCAACAGGCCTCGCAGCCTCGAGATCGACGACACCAATCCGCTCAGGGCGCTCTCCACCCGCACTCCCAAGTCTCATCGCGCTCCCACCAGGCGACATCCTCCCTCTAATCCCCCTCCTTCTCCCGTTCTCGTTCCCAAACACCTGTCTCGCCTTCTCCCCGTACCTCTTGACCTCCTTGCCCAGCCAATGCCGACACAGTAATACAAAAAGCAAGTCCCAGAGCCCGATGCCCCAGAGGAACATGTACGCCAGCACGCGGCCATAGCTGTCGGACATACCCCAGTATGTGAACCCGCGCGCAAAGACGTCACCGAGGGAGATGTAGACCCAGAAGATTGCGATGAGGGAGGCGCCTAGTACGAGGCGAATGAGGAGGGTCCAGCCTGGCCAGGGGTCGTGAGCGTGGACTATTGAGCGGGCATCGAGGAGGATGTCTGTGGAGAGGATCGCGATCAGGGCAACGGCGGCGGGGCTATTTATCACGGTCAGTATGTATTGAATATCGAGTGGATAGTAGATGTGAGGGGATATGGTTACGAACCCTGCGGGATATGTCAAAGGAAACGAGACGTTGTAGAGGAACCACGACATGATCCATAAGAGTATCGATGCGGCGGCGACGTGCGCTACGTCATTGGCGATTTGGGCGCGGAGCAGCCATCGCTTGAACTGTCGCGCCTGTTGTGCGTTGGGACGGCGAGGTCTCCGGACTCGGGTCCGGCTTCGGGGCGGCGGGGGGATTGTGAGCGGCGGAGGACGGTGGGGGCGCTCCATTGTGTTGTGGTGGTGGCTATTATGGGTGTGTTTTTGCCCGCTGCACCACCAGAGATCTCGAGTTGGTTGAACAACCACACGATGGTCCGAGAGATCAAAGGCGGGCGAAAAGAGGTGAAGAGGATTGAGAGTTTGCGCAGACGGCCTTCAGCATGGTCCTTTCTCGGCGGTGACGAGTCCCGTTGTGTTTTTTCCCCTTCTTTTTTTCGTTTCTTTCCTTCCTTCCTCTGTTTCGACTAGTTTTCCGCTTGGAGATTGCCCAGCATGCCAGTGACGTTTTCTGTTATGAGAAGATGGGGACACCAAATGAGATTCGATGGGGAAAATATGTCAAAAGGGTAAAGGCGCAAAAAGCGAGGAACGAAGAATAGAGAATAGGTACTAGTGACCGACGCGGCGGATGTCTCAGACGGGAAGTAAAGAAAGCGATAAGGCAAGTTCGGGTAGTAATAAGAGTCGCAGTGTTGAACGATTATCGAAATAAGATAAACCTCGGGATTCTGGAACGTGGCATGAGATGACGCCGGGTGGGATGAGTGTTACTCTACGTGTTAGAGCGGGAGGGAGCGAAGGTTGGCGAGCAAGAGTCGTGACAGGTCCGAAGGTAAGAAGTAGACGCGGATTCGCAAAAGGTTCACGTCGCAGACGGGACGGTGTGGTGTTGAGTTTGTACTTTGATCTTTTCTTAAACCTGGGCTGAAGCCAATATTGGAGAGGTGGACGATTGGACGACCGTTTTCAGCCAAATCGGCGATCAATCATGTACGGGATGGGACGAGATGATGATGATGATGATGATGGGTGCTGGGCCAGGGCAAGTCCGGACAAGGTTTGAGAAACACGAAAACGATAAAAAGCGCAGAAACCCCTTCGGCGAAGAAACAGAGACAGCGACCAGCGAGGCGGTAATGGATCGATCGAGGCCTTCCGATGTATGTCTGGCGTTGGAAGATGTTGGAAAGAAGGAAAACAAGTCGAAGAGACTCAGACTTCGGCCGGGCGAGCATCTGCGGGAGAACCTCGTGGTTTTGAGCCGGACGTCCCATGCGATGCAGATATCTCTTGGCTTCTTCTAGGGGGGCACCGGTCTCTCCAGAGTCCAAACCGAACCCGTGTGACCGTGTTGTTGGTGCAACGGAGCTGCGAGCTGCAACAGCACCGCGTCCCCGAATGCAGCATGCATCTTTTGGTCCTTGGTAACAGCCACTCAAAGCCAATGGGCCCTGCGCAGATCATACAGCTCCCCAACCCTATGCGTGCGCCCCCCTTGCACCGGCACTCGACGCCGTCCCGTGCAGTAGTCTGGTTTCCAGGGGCATCACGAAGTGCCACAACATTTGAACATGGACCGCCTCGTGCGGGGCCGCTCACCGGACTGTTCTTAGCTTCCACCATCTTTAGAAATAGCCCGTTGCGGCGCTGTCCAGTCGATGGTGGCCCCTGATGCCCTGGTGAGGCTCGGTCTGAAGTTTTGCCAAGCGCAACACTCTTCTTCGCTTCCGTGGGGTTTGTTACAAGGGGGCCCTGACTCTTGCCGTCTCTCCCAGGGGCCAGCAAACCAAGTTCTAACCGCCAGTGTCCATTGTCCGGTGGTTGTTTTCTGGCTCGGACGAGTCTCAGACCAGATGAACCTCGATCAATGTCCACGCCCCCGTCGGTGGCATCTTCCCCAAGCTTAGACAGAATGGCATTCGGACCGCCGTCCTGGACATCTTTAATCGTGTGCCGGGACCTGAACCCATCCGGATTCTTCGCAGCCTCGGGCCGACATAGGGAAGATAAGTCGATGATGGTTTTCCTGTGTGTCTTGGTCAGCGAAATGTTGCACAACGCCAATTGGTGTTTTCGACAAACCCTACTCGCCCATTTGTTAGTCAAAAATCATTTGAGTTGTCTCTCCACAGATCTGAGAAGTCATGTATGGCAGTTAATCCTTGCCAACGAAGCACAGCCTCTCTCCCTTCGAGACCTTCTCCATCCCATCTCTAAACAGCATGGAACCTGGAAACGAAACGTCGCTCTGCTTTCCGTGAAAGGCAATTCTGGATCCAGTCCGTTTCTGAAATTCATAGCGTGTATGCTATCGCTCTCAAACCATCGCAGCCGCACCATACTTCGGGACTGCTGAGCCAGGTCCTCCGGTACGCGGCATTGCAGCACGAGATCAAGTCGCGCAATCCTTTTCGTCCAAAGCTTTGGCATGATGCTTCATGATTTTGGCACCTGCCAGATAACTCTTGTCTTCGGCAAGCGACCCTGTTGGCTCGAACGTCCTAAAGTCCAGAGCAGACATTGTGGGAAATTCTCGATAATGCCATGTCCGATCTTGGAAGTATGCGCTGCAAGCCATCTCCGGCTGCCAATGCCTTTCGACAGTCGAATACACACATCCAGGACCTGTCGTGGTAGGCAAGATGTAGCATGAACCTATTGACCATATACGTCAGATGGACGTTGCGAGGACCATCTGAAGCAGATTGCGAGGAACCGTCAAGCGGCGATGCCTAGACTAGATCTGCAGAGGGTGCTGGGAGCTTACGACGATTGCAGAACCTTTCGCCGTTGACACGGTTAGAGTCAGCATTGCCTCGCGGATCTTTGGAGCCTTTGCCTTTTGATGGTCGCATATGCCCTTGTCGCCATCGGGATCGTTTCTGGCACTGGTTAACAACCAGAGCAATGTACGTAATACGCCGCAGACGGCAGATCTATCCGCTGTGGATTCGTCGAAAGAGACCGGTCTATCATCAAGTTGGTGTATAATTTCTCAGGTGAGGCTTGAAACTCTAAATCGCGGTCAGGAAGGCCAACGGATCGATAGAAAGTAGGAAAGTGGGCGATGATTTTGAGTTCAGCAGTTGTGGAGGGAGGAACAGAGAGAGAAGTCGAGCTGCCTTTAGCCGGAAGATTTGAACACCGAGGTCATTTGAGGGTTCAGGAGAGAGAAGGAGCTGGTCGGGGTTTTCGTAACTTCCGGGGCGAGATTCGAGAAGGTGCGAGTGATCATATCGGCCCTGCCGGCGATGTGGGGCCGGTCCGAACGCCGAGAAGAAGCTTTCTCCTGGACGAAAGATGAACCTTAGGATTTTCCCTCTCTCCCAAGAGTTTCGAGAGCAGTCTCTGAGTTGGTTCAGATTCATTGCATGTTTTTGAGCATCTTGTACCTGCCTCTCGACCGGTACTCGGTGCGCAAAGAAGCAAACCGCTAGTATTCGGCTTCACCGCCGGCGCTCAGCGATTCATCCGAACTCCGTAGTCCGGAGCAGGAACTGTATGCATATCCCCAGTTGTCCAAGACTTTCTTATACTTTCTCAAGTGGTTCTCGAGGCTGGAAAGTGAACCGTCAGACATGACTCGGAGTTTCAGGGTTCGAGGCTTCGGCTTCGGCTTCTACGGCGAAAATGGATACGGATAGATCATTTCCCCTCCCCCACGGGTATCACGGACAGGCACTGTCGGAAACCGTTCTCCGGACCTTGTATAGGCTCCAGGGCGTTCTTCATTTCTAAGAACTAGCTTGCGATGCTACTGCAGGCGTGATACCATGTAAATCGGGTGCTGAAAACAAGAGGGCACATCGTTGAAGAGGCAATATAAGCTTTTAGCCGAGCTGACTCCGGGGAATATGACCTCTTTTTGGCAGCTCGGGAGGAACTCGGCGCGTTTATGAGGCGAAAAGTTCGAACTGAGCCGATTTGGTAGAATGATCGACGGACCTTGAATGGTAACTATTAGAAAGCGAAACCGACGTATTCGTGTGCGCGCTGTTCTCCGGGCCTGCTAAGCTTTCAGAGATAATCTAAATTAGCTTTTTCTCTAGGTTGAGTGCTATTTCTAAAGGCAGGATTTACGACACCACCTAACCCCCTGAGTGAGTTGTCAACGATTTAGTGGCTCTGTAGGGAAACCTGTATGACTCGGGGGGCAGACTAGTATGTGGATACATGGGGCACGGAAAACACCCCACTACAACTGCAAAAAGTCCAAACATGAGCTTTATTAGTGATGATTGTTGTCTTCCGCTAACTCCGGGGTGATAGATTGGCATCTAATTAACTTTTGCAGGACTCTCGTATTGTAGCTTCAACAGTTGTCTTCGAGAAGGATTCCCACGATTTCAAAAGTTTGGAAGTTCTGCGAATATGCGAATCCTATATAGAGCCTGGAACTCTTCGCCGATCAGTGAACAGAAAATGTGACCAGTAGACAAACGCAATCTCACAAACTCATTACAACATCAAGTTACCATTTCAACCCCTCTACCAAAACTCAAAATGAAGACCTCCATCATCTCTACCGTTGCCATGCTGCTTATCTCCAGCAGCTTGGTCGATGCTCGCACCTGTGTGTGTCTCGTACGTATCACTCACTCTCGTAACATTGGGCTTAAAGGAAGCTTGATGTGTTCGACATAATATTTCCAGAGCTGACTATCGGGAATGTAGTTCAAGAACCAGGACGGTAACGACCAAGGCTCCCAGGGATCCACCGCCCACTGCTGCGGTAGTAAGTGTCTTTTTTTTTTTTTTTTTCTCTCCTTCTGTGTCTTATGCGGAATACTAACGCGTGAATAGACGACGTCGTCACTGGACCTTTCCACAATGCCGCCTTCTACTGCCCCAACCGACAAGAGACCGCCGCCCAGTTCGATGCTTGCTGCAGGAACTGGATCGCCAGCTCTTTCGGATCTTGCGACTCCTAGGCTGTCCAATAGGATCTTGGCTGGCATGCGTAGTCCGTGGACTTGGAGATTCTGCAGCAATTGATAGAGGCATGGATAAAGATGGAGGCATCGGCTGATAGCTTGAATACACATGACTGGTTACCACATCTTCTTGAGGCCTTTTGTTACGAGCTTATCATGGAGAACAATGGCGATAGCCCCTGCACAGCCAAAGGTTTGTATGTGCCTTACCCACGAAGTGGCTGTACCATGCTTTTAAGCACTCCCAGCCGCTCCATCCCGTAGCTCTCGCTCATGCTTGCGGAAAGAAACCAACATCCCAAGATCGTACACAACCTTGAGACATCCAGCACCCACAAAAGCAACCCAGAAGAGATTCTTATCCACCAAGATACCCACACCCACGGGACCAACACTCGACGTGCACGTCTTCAAAACATTGATCAAGCCCAACACAGTAGTCCGCTCCTTGGGCAAAATCACGCCAGCAAGGAAAGCGGCTCTCGGCGCGACGTCCATGGAATGCGTCAGGGCGCGGAAGATCAGAAACACGATCGCCGTGGTGGCGTCTCGCGGAAGAGGGATGAGTGCGGTGAAGATTGTCGAGGGGAGGTGGGTGAAGACCATGGCCTGTGTAGTGAAAGTTAGCGGACAGTAAAATGAGCTTATGGAGATCTAGAGGGGAGTGGTTCGTTGTTCACGTACGTTGAGGTTGCCGATTCGCTTGGCTATCGAGGATGCGACTAGAGTTGTGGCCGCTGCCAGCAGGCTCGTGGTGAAGAATAAAGAGCCCAAAGTTCCATCGTCCACTTTGAACTTCCACCGGAAGAAGAAGGCGATCCAGGACCTGGAATATGTCAGCGTTAATACTCACAAAAGGAGTAAGTGGGGACATACTGGGTAGTCAAGCTCGAGGCAAAAGAATCAAGCGCAAAGAAGAAGCACAAGGTAGCGACAACAGGCATACTCTCCCTCTCAATCCCCGGAACAATCTTCGACCGCCAAGTCTTGACGTCAAATTCCCTCTCAGCCGATCGTTCGCCCAGAATCGGAGCAGTCTCTTCCGCAGACGCCCCAGCTTCCTCCCGCTCTGCCTCCATATCACGGCTCAGGAGCAAGGCGAGGAAGAACTTAAACACTCCGAGCACCGCATATCCGTAAAAGACTACACGGTACGCATGCTCAAGTCCCCAGCCGGCACTCGTCGTCAAGTAATGCGCCGTCCAGCCGCTCGTCATCGCCCCAAAGGCAGTTCCGGCCGCACCCATGAGGCTATACCAGGCATAGACATCGCTCCTATCCTCAGCGGTAGTAAGATGCGCGACGATACTCTCTTCCACAGCCCGGAAAGGTCCAATTTCAGCGCCACTGGTTGTAATCAGCCTCACTCTTCTTGATTCCCTGAGAGGCATGTGTGAAACATACCTTGGACTGATAACCCCCACCACAGCAGCAGCCAACAACACCCAAAACCCGCTACACATCGCAAAAACAACACCGCTAACAGCCATCAAAGCCGCGCCTGCAGCTAGCACCGCCTTCCGCCCGACGCCATCGGCGATGGAAGTGAGAACTAAACTGATGCAGACGTCGCCGACGAGCGTAAACGCCATGAACAGACCAATTCGCGTCGCCGAGAGGCCGAGGAGTTCAAAGTACGCTACTAGCTGCAAGGTCGTCGCGCCGTAGGCGAACATGCGCACGAAGCGCTGGAGGCATAGTAATTTGATGTCGGGGTGGGATCTGCCGAGGGCCAGGAGGCCTGTTTCGACGAGTCCGCGGTGTAGAAACTGTCGAGACATTGCGAATGTTGTCTCTACTGTACCTATCTACATGGAAGATGTCAAGGCGAGAATAGAGGTGGTAGAAGAGTCATTGGGTGCGGATGAATCATCTCCGCGGACCGAATTTTAAAGCAATTGATGGTTGTCGGGAAGTGGAGACTGATTATCACTTGCAGCGACGCGATTAGGATGCGCAAGGCCCCTAGTCAATCCAATTGCTGTGACTCCGAAATCTATGTTTTCGCTGCTTCGGCATGGTCTAGTCATACCTGTGACATAATGTTGGGGGAATAGAAGTTGGGAGAATGGACGTGAGATGGAACGGCGTAAGTATTCATAAAGCGGGCTTGCCAGGGATTACCACTTTATGACAGACACGACTATATGCGAAGACTCCATCCCCGATCACTCATACCCAAGCTCCAAGCTATCCCAGGCCCTCTCTTAACGACATCATCAACTTCTTCCTGATGGTGCCCCTGCGCAAGCCCAATCTCAAGAGCCTGCTTATCCTTGGAGTTGATAGCGACCATGGCCTGTAGCGTAGAGCTCTTCACCACCCCGATACCCGCTGCTTTGGTCTGAACGATGGCGAGAGCCAGGAGCATCATGGAAAGCGCGGCCTGACAGGATATGAACGCAAGCCAAGGCCAGCGAACTTGTACGAATGTTTCCGATGCGAGTGCTTGCCCACTTGCTATTGTGGTATCATTTGTTATGCTGTTCTTGCGTTAGTAACCTCGTTTACCTATTCAACATAAGGGGAATCGACAGGAGACATACCGATTCGACAAGCTCCTGGCAACATTATTCGTAATATTCGCAACAGCCTCATTAATCACAACCTCCTGCGACACATTCGCCCGCCCCTGCGCCTCCAACGTCTTGGCGCCGTACTGTATCGCAGCCAGGTACCGAGCCGGCGCAAGACCGAGTGCACTCGGCACGTTACTGAGATCCGAATACGACCCGTTGAGCGCATTCCTCAGACTGTCCTGCATCGCGCCGAACCCGGTACCGCCGTAGGGGAAGTTTTCGCCATCGGGGTTGAGGGGGTCTCGTATCGCGGGTAGGTCGTCTCGTACCTGGCCGGAGGGGAACGTGATGGAGCCCTGTTCGACGTCTGAGGTGATCTCGACGACTTTGCGCGATTCAATGTTGCCTGTGAAGGAGAGGTTGTACGTCTTCGCGCAGAGGTACAGCACAGCCTCCATGGCTCCGACTGCGGCGTCATTCCCTTCTCGTAAGGAATAGATCACCGTGAAGTTGAAAAGCGCTGCCTCGGGTGTCACGTCTGACGCAATCGGCTTACTCATGCCCCGTAGATTGATGAGACCGAAGTAATTACCGCTCAAATCCGCAGATATCCCGTTGGGAAGCGAAGCTTTCACCCGCGGTGACCCAGTAGACGTCTCTCTAGTTGTGACATTCAACGAATTCGTCACGTTCCAGAATTTGGCGCAGATGCTCAGCGAGCTGTAAGTCTCCCATTGGCACTCGCTTGTGGGACAGCGGGCTGGGCTGAGGGGGAATTCTTGGGTATGATCGTAGCTTAGGCCTTCGAAGATGGATTGTTGAACGTAGTTTTCTTGCTGAACTGCGCACAGGGATTTTAGTAAATACAAGATACAGATGAGGATTTAAGGATTGGACGTACGGCTGGAGAAGGTATTGGATGTACTAAAGAAGTACGATGTTGATCGGGGCACTGTCGCATCACCGTCTACGCGCGCGAGGCGGGCGGGGTATGTGACGGCGGATTGCGTCAATGTCGACGTGAAGATTGCCGTGATCATGACAATCGTAGCAATGAGACTCGGGGACCTGCGGATAGCATCAGCACACGCCACACCTTTCTCACCATCACTAGAACACAAAACTCACCAACCCTTAGTCGTCTTCAACAGTTGAATACTCCCCCAAGGTCCTCTGCTAGCCGAGTCGAAATCCTGAAAATCCTTCAACGGCCTCTCCTTGCGATACCAGAGCCACTTCAACTGCGACAAGCTCTCAGACACTGGGATAACAAACGCAGCTCGCGCCAGCGTCGCGAGAAAGGCGATGAGCGTGTTGAGCGTCAAACCCAGCGGCCACTCGGGCAGCCGTTGGCCATCGAAGCGGGATAACACTCCGGCAAGAGCGGCGACGGAGGCGATGCTTATGATGGACCATATGAGCTCTGGTAGCCAGCCCTTGAGGGATGTGCTCCATGGCTGCTTGGGTGCAGAAGGAGTGAGACCGGATTCTCTGTGGGATAGATGGGACTTTGTGTCTGTTCTCCCTGGTGTGTAGTCCCATCCACCGTGACGAGGCGAATCGGCCGAGTCCCAGTCTGTGTTAGACAGCTTGTTGTAAGATCCGTGCGGAGCGCCGGTGACATGGGCGGCGCCGGGCTCGGCGGTCACTGAGCTCTTGGGTCGTTGGGTTTGCCCAGACTCTAATGGCTCGATGCGGGTCTCTGCCGAGTCGGTGGACTGCACATGAATGAGCGGTCGCCGATCATCTCTTGAGAGGTCCGATGCATCTGAATTGTACGGCGGACGCCTGGTGCTATCTGCCGCCGCCCAGGGACCTTCAAGATGGTGCATGATTGGTCATCTAGTGACCAGGAACGAGCCCTCAGATTACAACCAGACAACACTCGCAGTCTAGCATTGTGGTGAAAGACTTCGACAACCTTAAAGGGAAAGGCCAGCTAGCTTTAAGATAAGAATGCCGGCTGAGAAACATGCAGCACATCATCCGCGCTGGGGTTGTTTGTGGGTTGATCGTCAAGGCAGCAGGATCACAGAGAGACAGCACAGCCCGTGGCTTCCCCACCAGAAAGGCTGTGACAGGGCCATTTGTGTCGCCTAGGGCCTGAGAATAGCTAAGCGACTGCTGCCAAGCCGGGATGGGGACGCTGTTGGTGGCACCCCATGCAGGAAACCTCGAGGCTCAGGCAAGGGGCGGCTGGGACATGTGCGTGATGTCGGCTTGCATGGGCACTGCCGGGTAGCAGTAGGATCATTTACCCTGTGTCGCTGTCTCACAGGATTGCCGTCGGCATTCGATCTGTGAGACCTTTTCTGGCCACTCGAGTTTCAGTCGTGGTGAATGAGGATTTGGTTACACTAGCTGATTGACATGGCCAACAACGTGGCCGAATTGAGCTTCAGGAAATGGAACCATGTTTGCGAAGAGCGTCGAAATTATCCGTGAATTTTTGTCTAATTTTGTAAGGTAGATCTAGCTCATCTATCTTCTGGCTCAGACTTGCCTTTACGACATCATCGCCAGCGGTCTTAAATGATTAACTTGAACGTATGCTGCAAGCAAAGGGTTACTGCAAAGCAGAAACGCGCAGTCACTGGCAACATCGTTCAAGGGACCGCCAACTCGGAAGTATCTGTACGTCATCATCGCCAGGCTTGGGAAGCACTTGTCTCCCAATTTATACTCATGGAGCAATGAGTGTTGTTCCCTTTGTTTTTCCACTCTCCATCTTTGCGGTCCTCGAGCCGAATTGAATCTAGTCGAATGATTAGCCCGGGGGATACTCAGCCGCCCTCAGAGTATAGAGTAAAACCTACCGCTCTCTTCTTCTCTTGGGCAACTGCGCCCATGCCAAGATCCCTCGCAAGAAGCCTCAGCACTCGCTTCTCAGGATCGACCCCCGAGTCGCCTTCGGGACAGCCAAAGTCACACTTTTCCCAGACCGGACACTCGATGGCCCACTTCACAAACTGTTCATCAAGGAACGGGAATCGTACTTCCCGGCTCCAGTGAGACATGGCTCTATCGTCGCGTCCCAAGTTGCGCTTGCCCAGCCGGCTAACATCTAGCTTGAGTTCCTCGAGCAGGCCCGGGTAGCCCCTCCTTGAAAATGCAGTGGTATGCCGTACATAGCCGCCAAAGAGTTCGTCGGCCCCGAGGCCAGAGAGAAGCACTCGCGCTGGCGTGGTATATTTGACGGCTGGGTCTGACGGGCTACTTTGTGACATGCCGATGCCGCGGGCGGCAAAGTAGAGGGCGTAGGCGATGGAGAGATCCATCTCGGTGTTATGGGGATACATCAAAGAGATCACTTGGCTCCGGTGCTCGAGTACTTCCTGGTAAGGAACGTCAACCTGCCAAGGGTCAGTAAGGGCAGATAGCTGTATCAAGCTAAAGGAACCTACGGCGATGAATCTCCAATTTCTAGCTGGGCAGACAGTAGTCAGCTCGGCAAAGGACTTCCTTCCCGTGATTCTGTCTGGACAAGCCTCATAGAGACTTGGCGCACCAGGGGAGTTGTCAGCCTTCGCTGCTAAGCGAGGGTTCTCGAAAGCCACGTTGATCAGGTCGATGCCTTGATCAGATGGAACCAAGTCGCTAGCCATCCGCGCGAGGATTGTACAGTCCAAGCCGCCAGAGAACAAGACAGCTACTCGCGTGTCGTTGCCAGCATCGTGGGCTGGGGGTTCAGGAACGTTTAAAACGCGCAATCTGAGCGACTCGGTCATTTGCTGTTTGACTGCCTGCACTGACGGTGACACTGCTGACAGCGGCTGAACATCAGATGGCGGGAGTGTCATACTGAAGACTCCAATGTTGAGGACCTGGTATCGTAAGTAGCAAAAACGTAATTCATGTCGCGCGAGACATCTAGCTTACCGTCTCAGTCTCGCCTGGCGTCCAAGAGCGAGGCGAGTTTGACTTCAGTGAGTCACTGTGCCAGGCTACCAAGTCTACGACGTAGATGCCATCTGCTTCCACCTCTGCCCACGAAGATGATGTGCTCTCAGCAATACTAGACAATCTGATTCCACCCTCTCCATTGAGCAGCAACGATCGTCGACCAAGTCGATCGCGACCATAGAATAGACGGGAAGAAGTCGCGTCGAAGTAGACAAACGCGAAAGGGCCCTCAATGCTGCGCAGTACATCCAAGACCGCATGTTCCTCAGCGCTGCGGCTACTGGCCGCAGTGAGCAAAGCAAAGATTACGTCTCCGTCGTTCCCTTGGACAGGTCCCCCTGCAATCTTCCAGGCTTCGCCGTTCCAGCACAGGACAGACCCAGAAGACGCGTCGCGAAAGGGCTGCTGAGTGACGTGGTCACCGCGCAGAGCCAGAACCGTCGAGGTGAGAGTCAGAAAGACAGAGCTATCTCCCGGGGTTTGACAGCGAACTTCGCCTAGATGATCCGGACCGCGGTTGCAGAGGCATGTCTTGACGTCTCGGGGCAGCGACTGGAAGCCGTCGCGAGAAACGACCGCGTGGATCCCGCACATTATAGCCTACGCGGCACCGAACGCAGTTTGCCACTGGCTGCAGATAATAAGTCTCAGATGGCAACGTCTGTGACTGGGCTGCTGCGATTCGCGATGCACGGGAAGGAGGCTTGCGACTGCGTTGGATGTTGGTCATGAAGTTGCTGTTCGCACGAGAATCGGCCAACGGAATTTGTTCGGGAACAAAGATTGGGTACCTGGTACTGTGGACCAATGGAGCACCATCAACCCCACCATCGATTTAGGTACGTACTTTCGTGCCTCTTAGGGCTCTTATGATGGTCAGATTGGCTTGCTTTAAAGAAGAACACCATTGAAGTTAGAGATCCTTGAATTGCTTCTTCTCAATCATCTGTTGACTGAATTGTTTTGACTTCTACGATTTGTATTTCTTTCTTGGAGAGGGCCACATCTGGTATGCTTTGAGCAGACTTCACTCAGATGACGCCATTACACATCGCCATGCAAAACTCCCGAGATGGATCATGAATTTCCCCTCCCCCAAAGCAGACAAGGAATGAGCGGAAGCTAGTAGTAGGGCGGCATAGACTACCCGAGCAAGTGACCTTGCTTTTCCGGGGAGATCTGGGGAGTTCCCCAGTTGCGTGATGCAATTGGAACCCCAGCCGCGAAGGCCCGAACTTGGCAGTTGAGGTCAGCCCAGTGTTAGTCGACAACATCACGCCACTCTCTCGGCTGTCTTCATCATGCGACAGTGCCATCATCATCGGCTCAGCGAGAAGTGACAGAACAACAGTATAAGATGAACAACATATCCTCCGGCCTCTAGTAGAAACGCTAGAAAGACTAAGCATCACAATGGCATCTAGAAGAACCTGTCAACAACTATGGCGCACTCAACTCACCATTACAAACGGCATCACAAGCCGAAGCATCACAAAACCAGCAACAATCGCCAGAACCCTGCCCACAACGACGACAGCAATACTCCTCCCCAAAGCCCGACTTACAACTCAATGCCGGCAATCAAATTCCTTCTCATCTCAACATCAAATTCGCCCATTCTCAAGCCGTTCTCCTAAGACAGAAGCAGCAGCGGCGGCGCCCGTCACCCCGAAATGGACGCCGCCTAGCGACCCCACTTCCCGGCCCGTTGTCATCCTCGGCGCGGGGGTCCTCGGTCGGCGATTAGCCGTTATGTGGGCCTCTACGGGCCGGCCCGTCATACTCCACGACGTTGACTCGAGCGTGCTTTCCTCTGCGATGCCGTACGTTGGGGATGCGCTTACTACAGTTTGTGCTGTTCGGGAGACACATCCGGGCCGAGTAACGACAAGCACTGTTTTAGAGGAATCGTGCAGTGGAAACCCCTGGATGGTCATTGAAGCTCTCCCCGAAGATCCAGAGATCAAGCGTGAGATGCTGGGTAAAGTCGACGCGCTCGTTCCCGAGGACTGCATTCTGGCTTCCAACAGCTCAACGTGGCCGACGTCAGCTCTAAGACATCTGATTACCAGGCCGGAGCGCCTGCTGAACACGCACTACCATCTACCGCCGCGAAACACATACGTCGAGCTCATGACTTGCGGCGTCACAGACCAAGATCTCATGCCTTTCCTGAAGAAGCAAATGCAGAGTGTGGGCTTCAACCCCCTGGCTCTTCCCCATGAATCAGTCGGCTTCGTCTTCAACCGGATATGGTCCGCCGTCAAGTCAGACACGCTACGCATCCTACAGGCGGAACTAGCTTCACCCCGGGATATTGACGCCCTCTTCAGAGACTTCTTCCACGCCGAGAAAGGGCCCTGTGAGAAGATGGACGAGGTCGGGCTGGACACTGTGTGGCAGGTTGAAAGGAACAGGGTGAACATGGGGGTCGTGGATGCAAAGAAGGCCGGGTACACTGACTGGCTGGAGGAGAACTACATTTCTAGGGGGAGGCTTGGGGAGAAGACGGGAGATGGGCTGTACTCGGCCGAGGAGAGGAAGATCTTGCGTGAGAAGAGGGCCCAGGCGAAGAGCTCGTATCTGAAGTTGCGCCGATGAAGTACGGCCCACTGTATGCTTCGCGGTAGCGTTTTCTTTTCTGTTCTGTCAAATGCGAGGAGAATTGGTTAGCCACGTTTGGATGCAACATATTGCAGAACTGATAACACAAAGCCATACTTTGATGAAGCAGCAGCAGTGTCACTGCTCAGCCACCATCCCGTCTGATTCTCCGAAAAAGCCACGGTATGCGTTTGACCTTTTCCCCCGCATCAGAGTGCTCAGTTTCCCTTTACGAGCTTCAGAATCTAGGCCTCTTCTTTTGCGGCTCCCCCGTCTCTTCTGATCTATCCCCGCCAATGGCAGTCTTCTTGGCCTGGTTCCTCATGTACTTGAGATTATTGTCCGAGATTGGTGACTTGAAATCCCCCATCGAACCTTCGAATCGATCCATGATTTGATTCAAAGGTGAGCATATCTTGTGGACCGCTTGACTTTTAGATCGGAGGCTGGAAGTCAAATACCCAATGGCGTTGACGTTTCCGAGAAAGCGTGTTCTAGTTCCCTGAGGTACCCCAAATTTCCCAAGACCAAGACGTTCGACGGCTTTCATTACTTCAACCAGGGCAGTATCGTTGCACCGGTCCTTGATCGCTTTCCAATCAGTCGCAGACAGGGCAGGAGTCTTGGTAGGAGGATGCCCATATCCATGATAGCCAGCATAATGCGATTCAGGCTGCTCTTTGGGCCGTTCTTTTTTGCATCCTCGGCCTTCTAATCCTTCCCGAATGGCGGCGTGAAAGTTTGAACTCAATTCATCCAGAATATCCTGTCGAGCCTTTGTGATATCATCTGATTGCGGCTTGTTAAGCAGACTTATTCCATAACTTTATGTTTAGGAACCCACCTATTATGCCACTGGCTTCATAACAATCGTAAGTGTTGAGAGGGACCCCTATCTTATCAACGATCTGCCCTTCGGGGTTGACTTTGGACCTAAGGACAAAATCTCGACATTTCACTTCAAAGGTCCTTTCCTCTCCGAGCTCCCAAGCAATCCATAATAATCTTTCGTTCCCTTCCGAGATCACATCGAGGTTCTTGTGAGTTTCGAACCAGATTGGCGCCCACTGGAATATGACCGATAACATGCCATACTTATTCGTGACAACAAGCAGCTGGTAGAGCTCATCCAGCTTCAGCTTCTGCGGGACCGCGCTGAAGCAACCATGGATGATGTTGAGGAGAATGAAGAAGGGCGCAGGGCGGTCTTCGGGAAGCTTCACGATCCAGGCGTCTCCCTCGGGCTTCGACTCCGAGAATCCTCCAAAGAGCATTGCCCGAAACACGGGAGACGCGCGCACCAGTGCCCTAGAGCAGACGACGAAGTCGAACACGTCGGCGCTCCCATCTTCTAAACTGCCGACTCTGAGAGTGAGGTCGCCTCGATCGTCGAAGGAGGCCTTTTCGGTCGCGATAGGAGACCCCGCTCGCTCGGGACCATTGGGTTTGGGTTCGTCGGAATCCTTGGGGACGTCAGACGAGTTCTCTGTGGCTGACGCCATGGTGTGTGCTTGCGTTGGCTTATTCTGAGTTCTGGCCAGAGCCTCAATCAAGTGTATGCGACTAAACAGCTTGCATCTATATATGGTATATATTCATATGGTACATCTACGAGCGGGGTTTACGCTTTATACCCTGGGTCACTGAGCACCGAGCCGCACTACTCATCTAGACACTAGACGGAGGTAGGTTCTGAGTACCTTGGGCAGGAGGAAAGAAAGCTAATGGTCAATCAGTCATTTGGACCTGTTTAGAGTCTGCAGAGGCGTGCTGCGTGTTTTTACATGCACGAGAGAAGAAAACTGAGCGAACCACCCATTAGAGTTGTGGAACGAATGATTGAGAGGGATACAGTTCTACTAGCAAACAAGTACAAAATCGGTGTAAGTTGAGAGTGAATCTTGATAGAGGAAGCTGTATGAATTCACCTGTGGACATCGCACTCAAATTTCAACCACAGCCCTCCTCTCTCGGCAGTTTCCTCTCCTTGAATTCCATAAATCCAGTCAATCATTTAAGTCCCAGGAAAGTCATAAGTCAATACTTGAAACATCATGGAATGTCCTTTTAGTCCAACTTCAAAATTGCCGATTTCACCCTAACGGAGAAAGAAAGACTCTACTGAGAACGAATGCACAACTGCTCCAACACCGAAGATCTAGGTAGCTATGCTTCAATCATTGTTCGCTTCTCGGAAACCAACGAGCCAAAGACTTCTCTAATAGAAACTTCTGAGAGTCTAAATAAAGCCATGAAGAATCAATAGTCTATCATGTTTCTGGACCGAGGCCGAAACTACTACTGTGGCTTCCATCCCGATATTTGAGCTCGCGCTTGAAATTGGTCCAATTTCTCTTGCGTTGAAACAACGTCCAGATGTTCCAAGTAAGATTCGTCTCCCAACTTTCTCTTCATTCCTTCAAAAGGATTGCAATGGTCATGTAACTCATCATAATTGACTTCCACACTCAAGAGTGTGTTTCGTAATTCTGTGGCACTGCCTGAATAATCCGGATGTTTCGATACATCCTGATCGAATAGAAGAGCAACATCGAAACCTTGCTCTCCCCAGATGGTGGTCAAGGACTCTGCAGTCATCATTGTTCGGATGAGGCCTGTGCATGGATCGTGATTTAGGTTACTGTCTGTGGGCTCGATTTTAAGGCAGTGCTTGCTATCATTCTCGCCAAATTTCATGATCTTTCTCAGCTCAGTGAACATGAAACCTAGGAGTCGATTTCGGACCTTTACTATGTCATCTATTTTCCGTTAGATACTTTCATGCAGGATACATGGTTACTTGAATGGCTGATGACCACAGTATGAAAGACTCACCAATAATTCTCGCTTCGGCAAGATATTCCTCTATAGGGTCGGGTGTCTCTGGCCACCGGATGCTACCTTTCCCATCACCGGAGCACATGGAGCCTAGGTGATTGACCATTTCGTTGTATATTTCTTTCGCGCCGATCTCCCAAGCAATCCAGGCAATGTATTCCTTGTCAGGCGAGTCGGTTCTTTCTTTCTCTGTGGGCATCCAATCTTGGAGGTGCGGGCCCAAACTCCCTGTGAGACCAAATTGTCGAGCATGTGCCAAGAGACCATAGAGCTGAATAACACAGACCTTATCCGGGATGAAGCGCTTCTCATCGTGTATGATCGCAAGGAGGATCAGCATTACTTGGGGATTGTCGGATGGCATTTTATCCACGCGTTGTTCTTTATTTTGCCAATTTGGCTCAAACATGAAGACATCAGGAGAAGCTTTCGTCAGTTTCTCAGGGGAAACGAAGATCGTGAGTGACAAGTCGGTGCCATTGTCAATGTCGAAGCAGAGGAGCTTTTCCTCGCAAAACACAATAACCCGGTCATCCGGTATTCTCGCGACTACTGAATCCCATTTCGTCTCCGTAGATGTCATGTCTGGAAGCAAACAGCGGCTGTCAATGTCCCTAGGAATAGTCAAGCTGCTCTTCGCTGAACAACTTTCGATGCAACACCTTATATGCAATGCGTAACTCAAGCAATCTGAATGGTAGAGTATTGTTCAAAGTCTATGGCGAATTACGGCGCTTTGAAGCGGAGGTTTATCGTCTGTTCTGTTTCACCTTGAGGAAGCAGATGACTCATTTATATTCCACCTCACACAAGAAACCGAGGAGCGCCTCGTGAATCGAACTCATTGACAAAGGGATCAAGGCTGAATTCATTTCTTTGGACTCGGTCAAATGCTCCTGGTGGCGGTAATGGTGGTGAAGGTTCTTTGATTTCCTGTAGCAGTAACAAAGGCGCTGTGTAAGAACAGGGGTTTGAGCACCCCCGCCATGGAAGGAATCGTCCGAGTCTGTGCCTCCTAGGTAGTTACACAAGGTTAAGCGGCAAGTCAGTTTGTAAGAGTGTTGGTAACACTTGACTGCGGTTGCTCGGCCGGAACTGGCATGCCTGAAAGCGCGCGACTTGGTCCATCTTATGGGGCATTGAGCAGGCGCGTAACACACAACCTACCTCCGTGCCTCCAGGTATTCATGCAACACTGAGTATCACTCGACTCGATTCTTTCCCTCATATTTTTTATCAACACCAAGGTTGAGGTACTCCAAATCTGGATGCGTTAAGGCGTTAGGTGCCGATTTGGCTATATCCTACAGGTACGTATATTATTACATCGTAAAAGATGGTTTTCAAGAGCAAAGACTTCTGAGGTGCTCATTTGGACTTCGAGTCGCTCGTTCATAACGGCGCAACCGTCGTTGCGAATTAAACAGGGCGTGTATCAAATCGCGACACTACTGTTTGTTTGTTGCGTTATCAGCCCAATTCTAGGCTGTATTTCAGATAACATCGGGCTCACACACAGGAGGCACCCCCATCTTTCGGTCTTTTCTACGAGGGAACTCAAAAAGTCTTCCTCGAACCATCGGAACAATATCACATATTCTATTCCCTCCCAACATCACACTTTGAGACCATCAAAGTTAACCTCTCCATGGATAGTTCTTCACCAGATAAATTCGGAAATAGAAATGGAGATTCCGAAATGAAAGTAAGAGATGCTGTATGGGTGAAAATTCTTGCGCTTTATTCAAACAAACTGCTAAATAGTTTCTGCCTTATGATTCGTCCGTGGGCGCCAAGTCAAGTTACAATGTCCGCTTGTGCCTACCCGATGCTTCAACGCATGCTGTAGAGGGCGCTCTGAACCCAAACCTTACAAGGGTCTCTTCTCACTATGAATTATGAAGCACTTTACGTGTTTCTTAATAGATGAAACAATTATCCACTTGCGGCGTCCATCCGTAAATAAGAGCTTGCTCAGTAAAGTGTTCCCGACTTCTCACGGCAAGCTGCAGAGGAGACCACTCTGAATCCTTTTTTAAGTTGTCTCGCATCTTCTTAAAAGGATCACAAGATTCATGGCCATCTATGGTCCGGCATTCCACTTTCAAGAGCCTCTCGAGCAGGCTCTGAACACTGCCTGTATAGATCGAGGTATTATCCAGGTTAGATAGGATCTGACTCAGGCCGAACCGCTCGAACGTTGTATAGAGTCCGTCACTGGAACCAGGAGACATGTAATGGATGATTTTGGAGCTACATTCATCGTCATCATCCAAACTGTCGTTGAAGTGGCAGCCTACACCGCTATCACAGGACGTTATGACGTATTTCAGCTCACTGAAGAGGAATTTGAGTCTCTCTGTACGAACGAAAGCCACGTCGGCTACGTAGTGTCAGTTTTGTTAGATTAGAGAAAATCTTCAACTCCTCGACGATGAAGACGCTCAAGACTCACTGGAAACATTTGTTGTCTCTCCGCCCAGTTTGCGATAAGATGGTGACAAACTCCTGCAACCTGGCTTCTCAGGTTTGTTTCGCTTGTTGACTTCACATATAAAGCCCAAGCGATCAGCCATATCGTCATATAAACCTCCCGCGCCAATCTCCCAAGCTACATTGATAGCGGCCTCAATCATTGCTGTGCTCAGGTTGTCTTTCTCGTCTTGTGTGGGCATCCAATGCGGTAGATACGGACCCAAAAGAGATTGGAGATAGAGTGGTTGAGTATCATATACCAGACAATAGAGGTCACGGAAGGAGATCTTTTTCAAAACTGGTGTTTTTCCGAGAACAAAGGCCTTGTTTGGGACAAAGAATTCGGTACCGTGGGCGATGTCGAAGAGAATTAATATGGATCTGATATGGCCCCGCGATATTTTGTCCGTAAAAAAAGAAAAGTCGAAATCGTGTTCATAGGATGCCTCGATTTTCTTCATGTTTGCAGCTTCCGTCATTACCTGTAGGGAAACGATGGCCGTGACCCCCATCGTAGGGTTTGTGCTTTCACCACTTTTACCCCCTACGTTAAAGGAGTGAAGAGACGTGGAACCATCTTCGCTAAACTTAATAGTTTCGCCCGACGGCAGATTTGGAATGATTGACTTCAGGTAGTCGTCGGTATCAGAAGATGTCATGTTCCCGAAATCAAGGCTGCTTCCTATATAGGTACCGGTAGAAACCAGGAAGCTTCTGTCCGATTATAAGCTTTGAGATTAAAGTATGGGATTCTTGCATTTTCCTCTGCAGTCTGATATGAGACTTACGAGCTCTATGCGGTGTAGTGCGTTTGATATGTTGATGTGTGATAGCGCGTTGAAGGAGTACTCATATGTCTGTCGTTCCTCCCATCAAAGATAAGGTAGGGGAAGTAGGCGGCTGATTTATATTCTTTTGCGCCAAGAGATGCGAACTACTATTTGGATTGGCATTATGGAGAGAGTGCGGATTTTCGGAAGGTTACTCTTAGGGCAATGGGCCAAGAAATGATTCATTTCTTTGACCCTCGGCTCATTGCCCTCGAGGAGGTGACGGGGTTAAAGATTAGTGCGTTTTACCGTACTTGGAACAAAGACACTGTATCAAAACAGCAATTTGGAACCCGCCACAAAGAGATTATCTCAGTGTTTGGTTCCCAGTAACACAAAGGCAATAGGCGGGTTGGTGAGAATGTAATTGGCGGCCAGCAGCGTTTGCCCGGCCACAGGTCAGGCCAGGCACGCCTAGTAATAGCGCATGTGAGATTTTGGACTTGGTCGAGATATTGGGTCACTCAGCAGAAGCTTACCGCCTAGGTCGTAGTATCGAGGTAGCCCGGGTTCCTTTTCGTTTCATTCTGGCCATACTAGGTATGAGTTTTTTCTTTCGAGCTACCTTAGCACATTATCATTCCACAGCATTCGTTCAACTGCCTCCACTTTTGCTCGGAGTTACATTGGTAGCACATTCACGAGTGGAACTGCTTACTTATCGAGGCTTCGAGGTGGCTTCACATCATTACTGCAGTAGCAAGCGAAAATGAGACTGAAGCGGTGTGCCCGGTCTTTGTCTGAGTTTAACTTTCCCAAAGCCAAGGAATGATAGTATTCAGTCGTTTTCGGACTGTAGATATCGGGTACACTTTGGGACTACCGGACCACCTTCTCAATAGCTCATCCCCCAACCATACCGTAATTGACTTGGAAGAGAAGAAGCAAGGAGAATGAACTGGTTGTGCTTTCGCTATTTCTCCCTCATTAAACTGCCTTTCCTGACGCGCTCCCCCTGTATGTTCTGATAAATAAAATGACTAGAGCTCTGGGTGCATAATTACCTGTCGAGTTTTGAGAAAGCAGTGATTTCCCAAAGCTGTGCTTTCTGGTGTCTATTCAATTAGTTCAGCGTGGTTTTGGGGGCTCCCCATCCCGAGATCAAAGCCCGCCGTGTGAAGTCTTTCTTCTGTTCGTCGGTGAGCTCCAGCGACAATCCCTCCTGATTCCGTACATCAACTCTAAATGTCTTAACGAAAGGATCACAAGACTCGTGGCCCTCAATTGTGGGGCATTTTGTCTTCAGAATCTCCAAGGTGCATTTATCCATCTTTTCAATAAGTGTCCCATCTCCGTCTCCTGTGTACTCAAAGAAACTCTCGAACTCAGGTCCAGCTGCCTTGATGGTATGTTTGAAGGAGCTGGCGATCTTGAAATTGCATTTCTTGCGTTCTTCTGCGGTTGCTTGCTCCTTTTGACAATTTTTGTTCTCTGAGGCATTGTCATGAAAACCCTTAAGCTTTTGTCTCACGACCACCATGCCTTTTTGGCGGAATTTCTCTACATCAACTGTTTCCGTTAGGTCACGTCGCGTTTCCCCACTCTCCAGCAATTTAAAAAGGCGCATCACTCACCTTGAACTGTTTCATAGAGTCTTACACTATCAGACCAGCGATTTATCAGATCGTCCTTGGAAGGTACATTAGTGTACTTGATGGCGAGGCGAGCAATCACTTGTTCGTAGATATCTTTCGCGCCGATTGTGCTGGCAATCCAGGCGGTGTGTGCAGTATCGTTCCAAATCTGAGGGTCCGTCCATTCCTCTTGCTTGGGCATCCACCCCTTGAGGTGCGTTCCCAGACGGTGGACGAGGCCATACTTGTCTGCGTGGTGGACCAGGCTCTGAAGCTCGCTGATTGAAATCTTGGCTGGTAGGATGTCCAGAGGGCGCTCGTGAACGATTGCGAGGAGAACGAACATTGAACCGACATGATCTTCCTCCAGCAACATGATACCTCCGTCGACTGACCCCATCAATTCGGCCAGCGGTTTTGAAGTCTTTTTGACGGTGTCGGAGTCGACAATGATTTTCAAGTGTGACCTCCGAGTTTTGTCCATAGGCTCAAGTGGAGGAAATGGGTTGGGCATGATGAAGCGGAAATCGCCCGATTTACTGATTCGCTGGATAGGATGGTCTTCCATTAAATCAGCTCGGAGTATCTCCCACATCTTGTCGGTAGATATTGTATGACGAATTTGTTTGGGGAATGTGGAAAGGAAATATGGATAGGTCTCGTTGAGGACCGTGGAAATCGTGGATATCGACCTGCACTTTCTCATTCGTAAGCTTTGGGTCTGGCACGAAGGGAAAGGAAGAAAATAATTAGTGACTTCTATCCACTATTCCAATCGTTGGACTTACGAGTGTAGCACAGTGAAGTTGTAAATAAGACTGAGGAAAGGCAGTGCTAGACGAAGAGCTTGCAGCATTTTTGAGCCAACATCGGAGGAAATGGGCTGCTTTATAGCAATTCTGTGAAAGGAGCGACAATTAAAATGCCGAAGCCATCTATATTTACGCATACCAGCTTCTTGGTTTACTGAACAGACGCCCAAGCTACAGTCGCTCCTTTGAGGTTTTGGTGGCTGTCACCTTTTGGTAAAGCGGTTCAGCATTTACTTGATTTACCACAGCAATGACAAAGACGTTGCACAGGGGAGGAACTCCTCCACAAACAAAATAATTTCAACATGTGGGTTCTGAATCTGCTTACACAAAAAAGCAAGCAGTGAACATACATGGTTGGGAGCAAAGACGGAGTTCAGCTTCGACAGTTCAACTTCTAGGTATGCTACCTCTGGGCCTCTTCAGGCATTATTTCCATCGCATCAAGCCACTCCATGGTAAACGCCGTCACAATCTTCGTCCAGTCCCTCACCGTCGGCATATCGAGGTGCTCCCCATCATCCTGCGTGGTGTGCCATACGTCTGGGAAAGGCGAGGGAATCATATGCAGAATGTTGACGCCCTTCATCATGAAGGGGACATGGTCGTCGCCGATGCCACTACGTCCAAACATCTTGTTCACCTTGTTGATGTCGTACAGGAACGGCATCTTGGGCTTGCTCTCGAGTAAGTTGAGGTCACGCATGCGCTTCTCAATGTCGGCCATGGCCTTGTAGGCCCAGTGGGTTGACTGAAAGTAGGAAGGAACCTTGGGCTCTGCTGAGCCGAGGAGGTCAAGCAGGACGAACATGCTGATTTGCTCCAGGGGGTTCTTGTAATGAGACATGGCGGGGTTGAATGTGTTCTCCCATTCGAGAGCCAGGGACCTGCAGCAAGATGTTAGTAAGGTAAGATCTCATGCTGTGTCGTATCTCAACTGACCTGGCGCCATATAGCGAGTCGGTGTCCGTCCAGGACTTGAAAGCTTCCTCTCCATCGAGAAGCAGAATCTGCAGACCCATATCCTGGGGAACTGTGCCACCGTTCTCTCCGAGGGCAACCATCTCATCGTACATCTGGGTCATCATCGGATCCAGCGCCCTCGCAACGTGCAGAAGCATAGCGCACGGCGCAGCACTATCCGTCGCGCCGATAAAGCCCTTGGGTTCGATCTTGCTGTCGTAATGCGCCACCAGGGTGAGATAGTTGGCCTGGCCAGGCTTCGTCCATGGTGGTTCGCGCCTGATGATGAGATTCTGAAACGGGATATCGGTATTTCCCGTGGCGGGTGTCTTATCTGTTGAGTTTTGCCATTGGATGTTCCATTTCGGCAAGTTCTTGGTGAAGAAATCAACAAAATGCTGTTGAGTTTTGAGCTGCCCATCCGTGCCGGGCACTCGGGGGATGAGAATGGGGGCCAGCAATGGGCCGTTGTGAATGTCAAAGTCGGCCTCGGATACCGTGACGTTCTTGAGCACGGCTGCTGAGAGCGGTGTGTAGGCGCATACCGAAGCCGCGAAAAGGAGGTGAAGGAACGCGATCCAGAGTCCGCGGACGGGATGGCCTCTCACGAGAGGGAGGGCCATGGCGGGCTGTGACGAATGACAGCGGCAAGGGCACGATGGGACCCTGTTCTCATGAACTCATGCTGTGTTTGGCGGGCCGAGATCTATGGCGGCGCGTCTCTTCGTTGTCGTCGTCGTCGTTGGTAATAGGGGGAGATGGCGAATTTGGATGACTTCGCGACGGAGCTCCGAGATTTGATGAGAGGTTCAGAGCTGTGGTTGAGTTTCCGAAGAGGTGTCAACTTTTGGACGTCCTCCGACCGAGGGATGGACCGGCCGCAACGGGTTAGAGCGAAACTGTCCTGCAACATGGAGCTGCAGTCCCCCTGTGGCTCTGTTTTAAAATAGCGGGTCTCTGAGCGCATTAGGTAAGACGCGCTGGGACCCGTTTCTCCGCACGGCCCGTCCAGTGAGTGCACGCTCCACCGCGACGACCTCACTTCACTCTTCATCTCACTCCATCTCACTCCATCTCACTCATCCCTTGCCTTACTTATATGGTGCATCTCATTCATTCCTTAGCACTGTCGAGGAGCCTTGCACCAAGACATTGCGTCAAGTCTCGCCAATTTGGCCTTCAGAGCATACTCGTGCTCTTGGATGAACTCCAAGCATTAGGAGCCACTTCCAGCCCTTTCAGCAATCAACTTCTCATCCTTCTTCTTCTGCGCGACGACTTACGTTTGCCCTTTGGTCTCTACGTCGAGGAACTATTCGAAGAGAAATACTTGCTTGATTCTGGAGGGAAAGTACTATCACGGAACAAAAATTGGTGGGCCAAGCGGCACTCAAGCGATCTGACGTCGCTGATGACCAGATATACGAAGTGGTGTCAAATGGGAACATTCGGAGGAGCGACCTGTTGCTCCTGAGGGCACGAGTAGAACTGGTGGCTCTGTATTGAACATCTATTATTCCATTCATATGCGCTCATCTCATCTAGACTCTATACCCACCCGGACAACCCTAACATTATGGTGTCCCCATCAATGGCCTCTTCACCAAGATTCAATGTCTTCGTATATATCCATTGCTCTTATTTCTCCATCATCTGCCAAAGATCCTCAAACTCCAACAGCAGCCGTCATGAATAACCTTTCTCTCTTCATCAGCACACTGCAGACCAAGACAAGTGCCCAGGCTGTGATCACCAAGATTTAAGGCAAGTTCAGAGCCTCAACGATAGCCTCGAGAACCTCCTGCTGCATCCGCGGCGGCAGCGTTGTGGCAAAGTTCGTCCCGACACCAGCAATCGCAGCCTGAACCTGGTCCTCTGTGACAGCATCCGGCAGAATCGCAGTCGGCCGCTTCTCAGTTCTGTTCAGAACCACAGCATTACTGACCGCCAGCGCGATGTTGATACCGCTCGTCTGCACCAAGGCAATCGGAGAGGACGCAACAGCAGCTTTGGAAGCTGGCACGCTGGCCTGGGCAATCGAGAAGCCCGCTTGCGTGATACTTCCCAAGCCGGCACCGAGCATGGCTGAGGCCCCGTAGATCCAGGCCGTGCTGGTGTCAGTCTTGACGACGTACATCAACGTGGAAGCAACGACACAAATGATGCCGCCGACGGTGAACCATGGCATGTACAGCCCGAACTTTCCGGACAGATGGGACAGCATGCCGCCCTGCGTTAGGGTCACGGTCATCATGACCAGGCTGAACGAGAGCAGGCGGACAGCCGCGTCGATGGCGCTGTCGCCTCTCGTGAACTGGAAGAAGATGGGAACAAAGTACACAGGCACGAAGATGGCGTAGCCCCCGGCGGCTGTAACGCAGAACATGAGGATGATGGTTCGTTAATACTTGCGGGAGGCGATGAACTCGACTGGGAAGATGCGCCGCTCTTTGGTTGTGCCGATGCAGTGCACCTGCTGGATGCCGAAGACGATGAACAGGACGCCGGCGACGACGAAGAGCGCTATCTCGGAGCTGGAGTCCCATTCATACAGGACACCTCCGAACGAGGTGCCCATGGTGAAGCAGACGATGGTGCCGAGCATCAGCGGAGCACCGATCCAGTCGATCTCGGCGAGTCGCTATAGGATAGTCGCGCAAGGCTGAGGATCTGGAGACGGTAGCATAAAGAAGTACACCGGTGCGGCTAGGCCGCCGATGGGAAGGTTGATATGGAAGGCCCAGCTGTCAAGTGTCAGTCATTGAGGAGGCTATCGACCATGGTTGAGATGACTTACCGCCACGTCGCATCCCAGTCAGCAAAAGCGCCTCCCACAACTGGTCCAAGAAGGGACCCTGGCCCCTAAGTAATCCCGATACTAGCGAGATACGTAGGCCGCTCCTGAATCGTCGTGGTCGCTGCGATGAGGACCATGACCCCGAGATACATACCAACACCGCCCAGACCGCACAGTGCTCGCCCGACGATGAGGCTGTTAATATTCGGCGCCGCACCGCAGAGAGCACTACCCGCTTCGAAGACAGGGACGCTGGCGATGTACAACCACTTGGGCTTCAGATGGGAATACAGCTGGTCATAGAAGAGGTTGACAGCCGTCGTAGCCACGATGAAGGCGACAGCAAGCCACGCGATATCCTCGAAGGAGTCGAGCTGCAACACGATCTGAGGCTAGACGTCAGCGACGACGGTATTGTCTAGGGCAAAGAGGAAGGTTGAGGAGAGGATGACGAAGAAGATGACGTACTAGTTGATCCTGGTGACGGTACAGACGGGCTCGATGACGACTGCGTCTTTGCCTCATTCTGTGTCGGTGTTGTCTCCCGAGAGAGGGCCCTTGGTGGAGGAGGAGTCGGGCTGCTCCGCCTTCTCCTGAGGTCCTCCGGTCCGGGGCTGGGTTTCAGTCTTGGCTATCATATTGTGGAGGGGTTCGCGCCTGAAACATCCGAGTGTGAAGCCGTCGAGCGTGAGATACTGTGGCCTTCTGTATTGTTGCCCGGATCCGCGAACGTTCATATATTCTTCCCACTCTCTCCTCCTTGGGCCGCCGTTATCTCAGGCTCATACGCCACCAAGCCGTAAGCTGAACTTGAGCCATCTAGACCAATGGCTTCCGCAATCTCGTAAATCTCCAAGCAGAGTGAGCGTGTAAACTCTCCACACAGCTGCAACATATCAAAGCCAGCTCTGGTAGTGAGCGAGCTTACCAGCTAGTCCGCCAAAGGTTCGCGTCTGGCGTTGAATCGCAGGCTGCAGCAAAGACTGCTTGGGGAAAACAACCCGTTTGACTTTTGCCATAGACGCCTTTGAGTTTCCGATCAATGCCGCAGGGAAGAAATCTCAGGTTACGCAGAGGCTCACGGATAGTCGGCCCGTAAAACAGCCTCTTTGAACCGCGGCCGGCGCTTACCGCAACTTCACCAGCTTTTGGCATTGACGAAGCATGCATACAAAGCCCATCATACGGGCCATGCATGAGGATGGTCCAACGTCCCGGATATCTGGGAAACCGCCCTCGCACCGCTGTCCGATTGGCCTTCTGCTGACGTGACACAATGACGGGTCGAGCAGGTGATGATCTTGATAAGCTTCCGGGAGCCCAATCTGACGGGTTGCAGGTCAGAAACGCCACAGTCGTGGATCTAGAAGATATCAAGCGCCCTTTGACGTATCATACAAAGACTTTTTGAGGTGTTTACCTTCGTAATATACACGCTTTCTCCCATTCAGGACGTCTCGATGTCGTGGTGCAATGAAGCCTGTCAACTCGTTGAGGCTGAGATAAGCTTGCCAGCAGCCAGTCCACAGACAACGTGTCGTTGAGTAAGTCAGTGCCGCGAAATCCATGTTGCAGATCAGGTTCTCTTATGTATTTTGCCTTTCTAATGCCCTTTTAGGACTTACCATGGCTTCTCCCAGCGGGTCAGATGGCTGATAGCCTTAGTGCCATCTGTCATCCCCTCCTCCCTATGCAGTAGAAGCCAATCACTCCCTTCACAAGCCTCTTCACGATGCCATTTCCCACGATTTGATCACCGGTGTTCGCAAGTCATTCCCTTACTCGTCCCCGTCCGACTTGAAGACCACGTCAACATTCTTAGCTGCCACCTGCTTGCCATCATGAATGACAGTGAAGTCCACGCTCTTTCCGGAGCAGGCCATCTCCACGTCGTAGTTTATCATTGCGAAGACTTTGCCCATGGGGTTGGTGAAGCGAGGAAGGGACGCGAAGTTGATCTTCTTCTTCCAAGTAATGTTGCACAGCTCGTTGACGCGGTGGTCCAATCTCTCCGGAGGAGGCCACGCCTCGCTGGAATAGATCGTTCCGTCGACCTGACTAGGAACTGACTCCCAAAGGCGATAGTAAGACTTGGTAACCGGATCTGCAGAAGAGACATCGGTTCCCTAGCATATGTGTCAGCTATGAATACTTTCCAGAAGAAGACTGTATTTCCCAACATACTCGCTCAAGAAACCACTCCATGCAGGTATCGACCTTCCATGCGAGTTCATCTTCGCACCAATATCTGTCTTCCTCTTCATGTTCCTCGGGGTCGTAGGGAATCGTGCAGCAGGTGCCGTAGCTCATCCGAGAGACTCTAGACTTGATTTCGACTGCAAGACCAGGAGCGAGGTTGCGGCGCGTCAGTCCATGAATAGTTGCACCCCGACAAATCGCAGTCCAACTGTCCTATGTTAGCGTCGGCTTGGAAAACTTGAGAATGAGACTTACGGCTTGGCTCCGTAGCCTTGAAGAATCTCAATGTTGTTGCCGACTTCTTCCTTGAGGCGGCTTCGTAGGTATGGGCATCTGCCAAACCCCCCAACAAGAATGATTTGCTTTCACACATAATGTCAGTTGTTCATCATTCATCAAGGCTAGTGCTTCTTACCTTGGGCTTCGACTCCGTCTTCGTCATGACAGCCTCGATCTGCTTCTCTACCAGTGAGATTGTCTGGTTGACGACAGGATCAAAAACTTTGAGCAGGTCCGCCTGATCAAGGATGAGGTTGCGCTTGCGCTTCATACCCCGCCGTTGAGATCCAGGAACACGACACTCAGGGGGAAGATTGATCTGCCAGTCGTCATCCTGGTTCTTGAAAGAAGGCTTGATACAGTGCTCCCATTCGTCATTCAACAACTTCCTGACCTCCTCTTCCGGAATGTTGTTCCAAGCTTGAGGAGTAACCTTCTCCTTAAGCATGTTGACAAATGCCTCATCAAGGAAGACGCCGCCACAGAGGTCGCCGTCACCCTGAACAGCCTCTCGGACGATGAAGGGATCCAAGCTCAGGATCTCGTAGGTGATGAGGTCGACAGTGCCGCCACCAGCATCACACACAACGATGTGATCACCAACCTAGGAAGTAGCTGGTCAGTGCCACATCACTCAAGATCAAAAAAGTTCACATACCTCCGCGGTGGGCAACTTCGACAAGTCCTTCATTGTAGCAAGAGCTGCCGCTTCGGGCTCCGAGATGAAGGACAAGCTCGTCTCTCCAGCTGGACGGGACTTCAGCAAGCCAGCTTCTTCAGCAGCTCTGCGCATTCTGGCCTTGGCGTAATCCGGCCAGATTGCCGGAAGAGTTATGACGATGTGAAACTGGCACATCTTGACCATTGCATCGCCAACTGTGCTGACAATGCACTCTATGGCGTGATTCCATAAGTTCTGGAGATATCCGCTAATGATCTCGACCGGCTCTTTGTTGGCGCTCTTCGCCAGCCTCCTAGCCGTAGCAATCTGGCTAGAATCTCGGACGTTCTCGGGAAGGTCACGCTCATCAACAAGCAAGAGCTTGAACCACTTCAACGGCTCCTGCTTTGCATCTCTGGGTATGGCATATCCCCAAGAAGAGTTGCCGCGTTTTCCTCGGAAAAGAATGGAAGAGGGCACTTTCTCTTTGTCGGAGTTGAGGTTTATCTTGGATTCCCAGCGGCTGATGACCTCGATATTGTCGGGTTGACCGGAGTAGGCCCAGCTGACACCGGAGAAGCTTTTGAGTAGTCAGAAAATAGTCCATAAAGTTTTAGCAAGAACAAGAAGTAGTATGATGGTCTTACGTCGTGCCAAAGTCTATGCCAATGATGATGGCCTTCTCATCGTCTTCAGAAATTCGAGTCTTCACCATGGTGGGCATCACTTTCCGGCCGAAAGCTTCTGTAGATCTTTGGTCTGGATAGTCTTCGTCAGTAAAGTAAGAAATATTGTGAGATTGGGCAAAAGTGGTGTTGAGCTTATGTGGAAGAAATACCAAAAGATTGGAAACAGAAAATGCTGACATTTCCAGACAAGGGAAAGGAAAATCAGAGAGGAAAACTTACTAAAAATCCTGAAGACTTAGCAAGAAAAGTGAGTCAAAAAAAGAAGAAGTTTGAAAAGTGTGCAGTGTGAGAGCGTGGTGAGGTATTGAGTCGAAAAGGTGAAGTGTATGTTTTTTTTTTCTTAAAAGTGCAGCCAAAAAGAATGGGTGCACCGTACCTGCCTTACCTCACTTAGCCCACAGGGCACGGAAAGAAAAGAAAAAGGAAGGCACCTGTTTTAAGAAGAAAAGGAAGGAAGCTTGGGTGGCAAGCACCTCATATCTGCTTAGTCCTACCTGGCCTTACCTCTCTACCTCACCTCATACAATTATTCTCTCACTGACCCAGAGTCTTTCTCATACAATAAAATCATACATTCCAAGGAAGCTCGACTGCGCAAAGGCTCCCGAAGATTTCTCACATCGGCAAGAGATAAATCAAGTTGATCGGCTGAATCATGGCTGAGCATACACAGGTAAGCTACCCCAAATACTCAAATTTCAGAAAATCTTCTCCCTCAAATTCTTATTTGATTTTAGGGACGCTTCATGGTCATCGAGGACAGTGAGGCAGAATCTCCCAACAGCATGCCAGAAGATGAGCCCCGCGAGGGCAGGATTCCGCAACCAACGAATACCGACACCCCTCAAGAGCAGATGCCACTTTCGTTTGGGGAACGTCTAGCAGCCCAGCCTCCCCGCCGCCATCGAACTTTTCGCAAAAGCTTTTTCAGCAAGAACCTCGAGGTTATCAGATGGGAGAAAAAGAATGTGAGCCGCGATGACTCGATGTCATATTATCAAGAGCACACCTTCGTCATCGTTGGCAAAGCGAGGGCCGCGCTACAAGCACAGCGCATTGAAGAGCTTACAAGTCGCCTTCGGAAATGTGAGGAAGACAATCAAGAACTTGAAAAGTGCCTGATAGGGGCAAGTGATGAAGCAGCCGACATGGAGAAGAAACTAGCGTGGGCACTTGAGAGGGCCGCTGATGCTGAAGCAGAGCTGGCCCAGCGAGAGTCGGATCATCGAGATGCCATGGACAATCTCGAGAAGGGGTACCATAAGCTTTCCGGGCGGATTGAGAAACTCGAGTCCCGACTTGAAGAATGTGAGGTCGCGAAATTGAAGACTCAACCTCTTGCGAACTCTAGCAAGGTCTCGGACGAATTGATCACGGCCATATGGGCGAAAATGCAGTACAACATCAACTACCTTGCCAATCACGTTCTCACCGGCTGTCCCTCAGAGGGAGACCTGAAAGACGGCTGCATCAATGACTCCTGTTTTCTCAGTTCCGATGGCATCAATGATTACATCGACCAGCTCCAAGACGAGGACATGAGGCCCTTCGTTGTGGCACACTACCTTTGGAAGACTGTCATAGGACGATTCTTCGACCTCGGGGTAGACGGAAGTTACGAAAAGACTTGGGCCGGCACAATCGGAATGAGCTTCATTACCTGCTTCGAGAAGTTACTAGGTGAGAGAGTTCCCCACCCCGATGGCTATTTGGTGATCATTGTCACTGAAACCTTTAAATGGCAGCATTATGCAACCGCAGGCAACTGGACCCAACGAAGATCCTACACGGCAAAGCTGAGATTGGAGAGATGATCAATCAGATGATTGGCGTCGACCAGGCGGAGATGCTGAGGGTGGTACAGATGGAGATGGTAGCCTTCTTCAGATTTGTTCCCAATGAGTGTCCCGATTACAAAGCAAAGAACGAAAAGCTTGAGAGATACATCCTCAAGATATTCGACGATGCGGTGCAGCTCCGCGGGATCTTCATGGCTTCCAGAGCTTACTTCTACCCGAAATGGTACAAGGAGATGGCGGGTGGAGCCCGCATTCGTTTCGACGACAAGTCTATGGAAGCCGAGGGCTGGGAGAAGGAACCGCTCGGTGATGGGAACATCGTGCTATGCAACATCTCGCCGGGCCTGGTGAAGGTTGGCACCGCTGATGGCAACAGCTATGACTCCGATCTACTGCTTGTCAAGGCGAGGGTTGTCTGTGACTAGCCGAGGAGGTTTCAGCATCGCATGAGGAAAAAGAGAAGCAAGGAGAGTCGTGAATATCGAGATAGAGACGTAGGGCGGTAGGCTATACCAGAAAAGACGGCGTTTTTGTCTAAAGACTTCCCCAGACAAATGTCTCAAGTTGCCATGCAATCCAACATCTAAAATGACAGATCAACTCAACGAAGTTCTTCCAATCACCGCGCCCTGGTCTCTCTTCATATTCCAACTACCATATCAGCCTACTTTTCCTCTTTCGCCATGCACAATAAGGTTTCTTTCGATGGCGTTTTTGATGACAAATTGATGAGAGATGGACAAGCAAGTATCATTTACAAGCAGCCACCCTCAGTGACATTTTGTCGCCGGGTGTGGGGGCTGATGCATAACAAACGCTATCAACCTCAACGATAGAGTCTATCTTGACCAAAGGAATTCATTTCAGGCACTCATCGCATCATAGTTTTGCACCTGCGAAGTTCACGGGCTGAATGAACGTGAGCGCGGATTATTCCTGAGGCTGCAATTTTTTGGCCTTGCGCTAAGCTACACAATAAACAAACTTTGGCAAAATTGGCAACAGCAAGCACAATAGCTCAGGGGTAGAGCGCTGGGCTCATAACCCAGAGGTCCCTGGATCGAAACCAGGTTGTGCTAATTCTTTTGCGTTTTTGCCATCTTTACTCCATTTCTTGCTCTTTTTCCTCGGTTTATTACGGAAATAATCTTCTTTGTGTTTTGGAGAAACTGCAAACTTTCAAGTTCTATAAAGCTTGTACAGAGAACCATGTCCCCCAACTCTCCCCCAACGCCATCGCACATCTTCTGCCCAATGCCAGACAACCTCCATCAAAACCACACCCCCAACGGCCCGGCGCATGTCTCAAAAAGCCGGAAATCGGAACAAGCACCGGTACTGAAGCCGCGCCACCCTGTAACAACCTCCCCGCGCCGAGTCGGTACCGGCCGAACAAGCTTACTTGAGTCTTAGTACCATGAGACCAACGATGATAGGACACCGCCCCGGTCTCGCGCCATCGAATGGAGCGCTTATCTCCGCGACAATCCCCCGGAATCGAGTCTCGGTAAATGCTTTAAGCGCTCCACGAGTCGCGCGTCATAGACGAAGTTCCGAGCTGTTTAGCATGTTTGCCGACGGGCTTTTTCTCCTTCTTTGATGCGCCGTTGGGAAGAACATGGAGTTTACAACCTCGAATTGACTTTGCGCTTTGAGAATAAGGATACAGAAGGTTTAGTGGGACTTTCTGAAGGGCAAAGAGAAACAACGACTCTTGAAGATTGACAACTCAACGCCATGACTTCATCATTTCTAATCAACTAGCCCCAACGGACTCCCGCACGCTAAGAGGGTTTCGCGAACGAGCGGATAAACAATCTCTGGAGACTGTCGACTTTGTCACTTTGTCGCATACCTTCAACTTGAAGAGAAAGAAGCTTAATCGGGGCGATCTCAGAGTCTCAATACAGAAGGGTCCCAATGTTGGAGAAGCGAAACTCTGTTGAACGCAGCAGAGGTGACACGGACGCCAGCAACAAGGACATGGGCTCAACGCCCACAGGCGCAGGCGCAGGCGCAACGGCAGGGCCTGGCGAGGCGGTGGCTGCTGCTGCTGCGGAAGAAAAAGAAGCCTCCGTGCCGCAGGAAGTAATACGGAATTCAGCCGCGAACTCTGTCCGGGATGGCGGCTTTGGCGGCGACGACGACGAGAAGCGGGTATCCACGGGCGGCGGTAACGAGACGAGGTCGCCTTCACCGTCGCCTTCGAATTCGGACTGTGAATCGCATCGGGATGGCGGCAAGAAGGATAGTCGCAAAGGAGTTATTGGCGCGACAGTTGGTTTTCTCACCTGGACGCCGAGAAAGTTGCGATATGATCCCAAGAATCCTCCTCAATTCACTCTCGGCCTCAACTTTCTGTTTGCAGTTGTAAGTTACCTTCAATCATACACACACGATGGATTGAGATGCTAAGCGATCCAGGCGGCAACGTTCACCGTCGCCAACCTTTACTACAACCAACCGGTTCTCAACAGAATCGCAGAGACATTCAACGTCAGCTTCGAGAGGGCATCGTCGGTCGCGACGCTGATGCAAGCCGGCTATGCAGCAGGCTTGCTCTTCATCTGCCCTCTGGGCGACATGCTGCGCCGGCGGCCATTCATCCTAGGCCTCATCTGGGTGACAGCGATGCTGGTGAGCCACCCAATACAAAGACCTTTTGCGCAGTCCATCATCCTGACACCTCCAGTGGCTCGGCCTATGCCTCACAAACTCCTTCCAAGCCTTCCTAGGCCTGTCCTTCATCGTCGGCGCCACGACAGTAACACCACAACTCATGCTCCCGCTCGTGGCAGACATGGCGCCCCCCGAACGCAAAGCAAGCTCCCTCTCCATAACGACTTCCGGCCTCATGCTCGGCATGCTCATCGCGCGGCTGCTGTCCGGTATCGTGGCGAACTACACCTCCTGGCGCAACATCTACTGGTTCTCCTTCGGGGCGCAGAACCTGCTGCTGGTACTGCTCTTCTTCTTCGTGCCGGATTACCCCTCGACGAACCCGGACGGGCTGAATTACTTCCGCGCACTGTGGACGATTGTGACGATGTTGTTTACGGAGCCGATATTGGTCCAGGCGTGTCTGATAGGGTTCTTCATCAGTTCCATCTTTACGTCCTTTTGGACGACGTTGACGTTCTTGTTGGCTTCGCCGCCGTATGAGTACCCATCCATTACCATCGGCTTATTCTCGCTGATCGGCATCGCGGCGATCTGCGGTGGGCCGGTGTATGGACGATTGATCATGGACCGATACGTGCCGTGGCTGTCTTCTGTGCTCGGGCAGACGGTCATTCTCATCGGGTGTATCATTGGTGCTTTTACGGGTACTTTTACCGTCGCCGGCCCTGTGATCCAGGCGATTTGCATCGATATGGGTATTCAGACTGCGCAGACTGCCAACCGGACTGCGATTTACACTATCAACCCCAAGGCGAGGAACAGGGTGAACACGGCGTACATGGTGTGCGTGTTTTGCGGCCAGTTGACGGGCACGGCGGTGGGGAATAGATTGTACGCGCAGGGCGGATGGAGGTACAGCGCGGGCACCTCAAGTATGTATTCTCGCCAGAGTCTCGTCATTGCTGTGGTATGCTAATGTTGTACAGTTGGATTTATCGGGTTGTCATTGATCATCACCATGCTCAAAGGCCCACGAGAGAAGAGCTGGATCGGATGGAGGGGCGGATTCAAGCTGCGCAAAGACGCGCCGAAACCGCAGCCGGCCTCACCCGAAGAATCACAGGGGCCGGTACAGGAGCCGGTGGAGAAAAGGACGGATATCGGCGCCGGTGGTGAGGGAAATCGGCGGTGACAGGGTCCGATGGGTGGAGGAACTGGCCGGGGGATGAAGCTATCGGGGTGGTTGGGTCGTGCCGAGCTGCCGTTCCATGGTTTCGGGAGACGCTCATCAACTGTTCTAGATTAGCCAAAGGGAATCTTGGTCAAACGAAACTCTATTTGTTTACTCGATGATTTTGAAACTGAGATGAATAAGGTTACTTTGAAGTTGAAGGAGAAATGACGCAGCTGTTTGGTTTGGAGTAACAACCGGCGCAAGTCTTCAGGCCAGAAAATGTTACCCGGCAGCCACTACAGCGAGACCCCGGGCAGCAGACCCGCCAAGGACGCCCGCCAAGACCCATAATGAGGCCGTCTGGGGAATTGAGTGGTGGCTGAGGCGAGGCAAACTTTAGCGAGGAATGTCACTGGACGGGGGGCAAATGCACCACATGCTCCAGGGAGGGGCGGCCGTTGAAGGGTCGCTCCGGGTGCTGTAACCCGTTGCCTGTGGCATGCCTACCTTACCTTAAAGCTCAACATCAGCGGCACAGCGCCCCCGCGATTGAGGCCCACCAAAATCACCAACCACCCGCCTGCGACCAACCGCCAAGATCGGCAAGGTAGCCTGGCCGGCGGAAAGAGTGAGAAAAAAAACATGTTCCTCATCAATGAGTGAAAGAAAGACCGGGGGGGGGGGGGGTTGAGGTGGATGATTATCTCACTCACTTCCCTTCTCACTCTCATTCTCACCTCATTCACCTACAGAATTAGCTTCACTCACCATCAATTAAAGGCTCGCTCACCAATTGACGACAACTAACTCACGAACAACGACCTGGCCATGTCAAACACCACCCGGCTCACCATCATCCCCCAAACGCCCTGATGGCCCGCTACCAAGGCCTCGACTCGTCCGACCTGTTCCGCTTCGACACCCTCGCCTTGCGCGACGACATCCTCGTCTCGGACGACAACGCCGTCTCCAAGGTCGAGTACGATGAGTACGTCGTCTTCAAGAAGGACAATGGCATCCCCTCGGGCGCCAAGACGGGGCTAGAGGACGACGAGGATATCAGTTTCCAAATGCAGCACAAGGACGAGGTGCCGGGTCACCACACGCTTAATCTAGCCTTTCGTCATGGGTACTCTGTTGACCATAATGTGAGCTTCCCCTAATATGACCCAATCGAGACTATCATACAAGAAACTAACGTCTTGGTAGGGAGTGTTCACACAAGAGCCGGCACGGCACCCAGAGTTGGTTCTAGATGGACGGGTTCGACGAGTGTGAGTCCACCCACCTTATTGAGTAGTTCATCTCAGACAGAGACTAACAGCAACAGCATCTGCTTCCGCCGCAACAAATCCTTTGACCGCCGAGAAGACGGCATCACCATGACCCCAAGAGACCTCGACGCAATGGATCTTCACCCCGCCACCCTCCAATACTCCCGCCGCGTCACAAACGAATCCCGCTTCTGGTCCCTCGACCGCTCCAAACTGAGTGAGTATTCACTCTGACAACCATCAGCCTCACTCACAGAAACCAAGAATGACTAACACACTGCCAGGCCTCATTCTCTCCTTCTCCAAAAACCCAAGAACCCCCTACGACTTCATGTCCCTGACCTACGACGTCCGCAACCGCACCTCCTCCGTCCTCGTCCGCCAATCCTACCACCCGCGCCAGCACTCCCTCGAGAACCTAGACGAATACGACCAGCGCCTCGAGGCCTGCCGCGCCCACTGGGCCCACCCCTTCATCACCCCCGTCGTCCTCCTCCAAGTCCAGTTCATGCGCACCGAAGAGGCCGTCATGGAGAACATCAACCACGTCAAAGCCCTCGAGTGGCAGGTCAGCTCCATCGCCGGCTTCGAGGCCTTTGAAATGGAGCGCGAGAAGCGCTCAAAGCTCATGCGCAGACTCACGTTCGCCTCGTCCACGGCCGCGGCCTCGCATAACGAGAAAATGCCACAGATTGCCGGGCCGATGAGCATGGCGAACCTGATGAAGAGCGCGCACGACGTGCTTAAAGAGTCGATCAAGCTGCTAGACACCGTGCGTTGGATGGAGAGGGTGGTCAAGCTGATGCTGCAGGCCGGCGACGAGCTCGCGGAGCGCATGTCGACGGGGGAACTCAAGATCCGTCTCGACGATTTCCACGTACGACAGACGGACGCCGATCAGAGGGATGAACAGGACCAGCAAGTGCAGCCCGACGAGCCGCCCACGGGCCCGCCGTCGAGGTCGTCTGCGAGTACGAGGAGGCGGTCGCTGCCCAAGGCGCCGGATCCGCTGGCTGATCCGCTGGGGAACCATTGGCATGAGATACGGCAGTATCTTGAGGGGTTGCAGCGGATGTGCATGGGTCTCGAGACGGATCGACGCATGTCGGAGGCCCGGTGCCGCGCTCAGATTGATATTGTGAGCATCATATATTACATCCTCACCGTGTCCCCCAAAGCTAACACTACCCAGATCTACAGTAAAATGGCCCAAGAAGACAACGTCCTCAACGCCCGCATGGCCGTCGCCTCCTCCCGCGACTCCTCCTCAATGAAAGCCCTCGCCGTAATAACAGCAGTCTTCCTCCCCGGCGAGTTCCTCGGCACCCTCTTCGGCATGTCCATGTTCGACTGGCAAGCCTCAGGCGAAGACGCAGACAGCAGCGACAACGGAGGCGGCACCTCCACGAACCCGAAAGATCCCATCCCCGTGCTGAGCCACCTGTTCTGGGTCTACTGGGCCACCGTCATCCCTCTTACGATAGGTATCCTCGTCGCCTGGCGCGCGTGGTGGGTGAGCCAGGACCGGTATTTCCGACGGCACCTGTCGAGAGAGTTGTCGGAGGAGCGATACTGGACTGCTGATGGGAAGCCGAGGGATTTGGAGCATTCTTTCTGGTGGGATTTCTTTTATCTGTCTGTGAGGCGGGATGAGCGGCCCGCTCCGTCCGCGAGCGATCTGTATGGGAGTAATACGCTTGAGCTGTCGCCGAGTATGTCGCAGGATAAGGACGACATGAGGTCACCGCGAGGGGATATGACTGTGCGGAGAGGGCAGATCTCGTTTTTGAGGTCGCAGAGTATCCGGCAGCGGAATACTGTTGCTGTGTAGTGTGTGGTTTGAGTATGGTGTACGCCTAGTTATGATCTTCGATGATGGGCGGCTTGCTTGCTTTTTTTGCATATCTACTTGGGTGGTCGGTCTTCTTGGTAATGGGTAGTCGGAAGAGTGTATATACGCGTCATGGTAGGTGATTTGGCTGGAGATACGCTGGCCAAAGTAAGTATATATACAGATGAAATCAATAACCACGATTCATGACAACAAAGAGGTTGATGATGACAATGCTAATATTCGGGTTATCTATCGGGCGTCCAGCGAAGCAGGGCAGCTATTGTTCAATGAAGCTTCCACAAGTCTCGACGTTCATCGGCAAAGTAAGGTAAGATGGTAGCTAGATAGCTGAATGGCAGCCTCATAACTAACGCCAATCAGCCGCGGTAGCCATACCGGAGTGAAAGACAAACAAACATCACCGGGAACAGACAAGTGCGAATGATTCATTGCTGCATTGCGGAGATATCTAGACTAAGGTACTCGTCCCCTGACGGTATAACCATGCCATGTCCTCATCTCCCCCCAAAATATGCAGTCCTGATGAAAGTCAAGGTGCCTTCCGAAATCCCAATCCATGTTGAGCTGTGAGAAATGTTGTTGAATAGAAAGGTAGACCTAGACAAGAGTCCAAGTCACACCACCGACGCGACCGCGGCCAAGGTCACCCAGAAGAGCCTTGAAGACAGCAGGGCTGACGTCAATGTCGTTGACGGCACATCCCATGCACTTGTCAGTCACCTTGACGTCGACAGACTTGCCCTCGGCTTGAATGCGGACGGTATTGCCACAGAGCGGGTTGCCGTTAGACTGGGAGCCCATCTTGATGTGAGAGAGGGCAACAATCATGGAGTTGTCGTTGTCAGTCCAGCCACAGGCGCCAAGACCAGGGCTGAAGAAGGTGATGTCGCCCTGGAAGGGGCCGGGGCTGAGGTCCTGACGAGCCATGACAGCGGGGGGCCTGGAACAAGCCAGTGTTAGCATCTGCGAGAGGATGGTGGAAGAAGAAGAAGAAGAAGAAGAAGAAGAAGAAGAAGAAGAAGGAAAGAGGGTCAACTGACTCGACATCCTTGTAGACACGGCAGACCGTGAAAGAAGTGAGGGGGTTGACAGCGCGGCCCTTCTTGCCCAGGCGGGTAGAGCAACCAATGTGAGTAGCCTTGTCAGAGAGGAGCTGCTCTGTAGGAAAAGGTCAGACGAACTCGAGGAAAGTCAGTAGACGAGGCGAAGACATACCAGTGGTGCCGAGGGTCTCGTAGTAGTCCTCGACAGTGGTCTGAAAATTGTTCATGTCCTTGAAGCTAAGCCAGAGCTTGACAGCCGAGACCAGAGGATTGGTGACCTGCACGCTGTCCTCAGACAGAGAGCTGAAGTAGGCGACGACCTCGCCAGCACCATCACGCTGATGATCAGGAGCACGGCCAATGAAGCCCTGTTTGGCGAGCAGAAGGGCCCAGGTGTCGGCGTCCTCCTTGAGGTTGTTGTCCCAAAGGATGGGAGGGGCACCTGCCTCGGAACGAGCAGTGTTGATCATGGAGAGCGCGCGGTTCTCGTCACCACTGGCAATGGTGGTAGAGGCATGGACCATGCCGACGGCAGTGAGGCCGACTGCAATGCCAGTAACGACAGTCTTGATGCTGATCATGTTGACTGTTGTGGGTAGTGTGTGTGGGAAGTTGGAAAGTGAAGTGTGTGTGAAGTGAAGTGAATGAGAAGCCTGAAAGAGACAGTGTTGAATGGAAAAGTTGAAGTGCAGAATAAAGACGCAGTCTTTGAAGTTGGGTATCAACGAAGAAGAGAGATTGAAGTGTGCGTGTGTGTGGGAGGAAGAAGAAGAGAGGGTGGTGGGCGGGAGAGAAGGCGGGTTTATATAAAGGCTCAGGAGGGAGGGCTCAATAGGCAGAGGAAGGAGCCCAAAATCAGGTACCTTCCGTTGAACAAGTTTCTCGTCAAGACGTGAATTCCAAGGCGTTCTAGCGGCAATAGAAACTCGGAAGGAATCAAGTTGGTGTCAAGATCGCAGCTGTACTTTCAACCAGCCTATCCTTCCCATCCAGAGCAATTCTGATGGCAACAGGTCATGGTGGCAGATAGAGATTCCGAGATTATCACGATGGTGGTGATACCAGAAGACTTGAACGCAGGAGCCAGAGTCTTTCAGGGGAAACTGGCACATCTTCGTTGGAGCACACTTGGAGAACTGGGTGGGCGACACAACATGGAGAGACCAATGATGTAGAGCTGACCTGACAGTAAATTAATCTAGATGAAGCAAAATGACAAGCCATCTCGGAATCTTCCCTGAAGCACGACAGCTGAAAATGAGAGGCCAGACCAGAGGGGAGGAGAGACGTGATCTCTCGACTGCTCTACCTAAGCTGCAAGAACGTCCCTTCCTCCCTTGACAACTCCTGAAATATCATGGAAGTAAGAGCACGTGATTCGAATCAATTGGAATCTATCTGGGAAGAGTGGAAGCCCAGTGAGGCCAAGCTTTGCGGGCAGGAGCATGGTTGCACTGCGTATGCACTCAAAGTGATCCCCAGATGTGGTCAGCAACAAAGACCCCCCGCACAAACGTGCAGCTTTTCATGCCTGTGCAACATATCAATTATACAGCAGTCCTAGGAGATTTCAGACTGATATTTTGTGAGAGCTGCCATGAGCCGTGGTGATAGGCCCTTGCCTTAGGCGAGGTGGCTTACATCCCCGGGCGCTCCCTACATACACAACACCACCCAACCGCCGACTCTTTTTGGCTCTTGTAAAACATCTCCCAGGCGACGTTCAATGATAATATCTCGCGATTGCAAAGTCGAATCACAACTATTTCGCACGCATTGTTGATGTGGCCTCTTCATCCTGCCTGTACGCTCCTTCTTCCTCGAGCTACGTGGGCCATGCTCACAGTGTAGCCCACAACCGCACGGCCCTCCCTTTGTTGCCTAGAGTGAACCGCCTCATCCTGAGCATGAAGGAACGATTGCAGAAGGTACAGTCTAGTTCCAACAGTTGGGAGGAAGGACCAACGCTATGCGAGGGGGAGGGGGGGGGATTAGACGGCTCAAGTGTGGTGGTCCAAGGAGTTTAGTGGCCACGTTGAGCTACCCTCAACTCCTTACATGTGAGAGTACTTGAAACGGCGTGTTTCTCTTCGTTCATCTAGATAGCAGCAAACTGTGTGGTATCATGTATGGCAGCCTATCTAAATTGTTTGCTTGTGGCAAAATTTCTAGGCGGCGTCCAACTCTCTGGAGAGACAGGCATCACTAGGACGTGGCATTTGGGTACGTCTATCTTCATGTGCTCTCCAATATATCTATCAACCAGTTAAGAAGCACTTTATTGACTTACAGGTGGTATCTATCCCCACCTTCCGATAATTTCAAAGAATATCTATGATCCTATCCCAAACATCCTCTTCAAGCTCTGGGATTCTGACGACATTCCGCTCAAACCAACTGCGTTCAAACTCCTGCCTATTGCCTTCCGTCTCTCGATATATGGGCAATTCCCAATCCTCGGGCATGATCTTCCTTCCATAATCGTTTTCTTCCAGCTCGACGTCCATAGCTTGATTCGTCTGTTGGACCTTACTCCAGAACGGCAGGTGCTTTTCGAGGCCAAGGGCACCCAGCAACGCAGCAAGCTTCTCGCCAGCACTTCCTCGCTCCTTGGCGAGGATAGAAAGGGTCTCGAAGTACTCCTTCGTTGTCGCGGCGTCTCCTCTTTCCACAATTCTGAGAAGTAGCTTGGTCCAGTGCGTAATCAACACCGGATCGAGCGTGCCCTCGAGCATTCTGAACTCGATGGTTCCCTTCGCTCGCGGGTCATTGCTCGGCTTCGTAAAATCCCACTTGAGCGCGCCAAAGGCGGTGCCGCCCTTGCACCCACGGAACGGGGCGAGCTGGGCTAGAAGGGCGGCGAGACTATTCGTAGCCCAGAGCTTGGCTAGCTGACCGCGTAGCTTTCGGGGCAAGTCGTTCATGGGGACATTGGCCTCTAGATCCAAGAGCACATTGGCCATGCCTACCTGGAGGGGGTTACTTCTCGACTTATCACCTGCGTCCTCGAATACAAACGCTGCGGTGTAGTCGGGCAAATCCTCGGCCTTTGCGACAGCCGCTTCGAGGTGTAGAGGCTCCGTCATAGGATTCCACTGCCTCGACGGATGGACGAGGGTGTATAGAATCGGATCAGCAATCATAATCAGGGTGGCGATACGCTTCAAGCTGCGCAGTGAAAAGCCTCGAACGCTGCCTACGTGAACGTGGAGGCCACAACTGATGTCCAGCATCGGCCGAAGCCCGCCGCGGAGAATCCTCAACACGTCGACAATCTTGCCGAAATCTTTGGGCGAATCACGCAAGATGGGACTGGACATTTCTATCCCGATGTGTCCGGCGTACCCCTTTTCACCGGAAGCCCAGTCTGAAAGGCTTGGATCTCTCTCAATGTACCAGCACTGGAACATCGCGAGGACATCTTCGAAGAAGTGGAGGTGGCAGCCCGCGGCGTCTGCAACGGACTGCATCCCGGGGATCGAGACCTCACCCTCGAATTTGTCTTGGAGGTCAAAGACGGTGTCGAACGTGGCGCCAAAGTGGCCGGCGTCGCAGAGCAGCCTCTCTAAATATTTTGCTGATTCATCGTGGGCCTGGCCGCGCTCGTCTTTGGGTTGAGTGCCGAGGTATTTATCCATCAGGTCAGCCAGCTCATCGCGCTCGTCCTGTGTAGTGGGCTTGCTCGGACTTGGGATGACATACGGGGTGAAGTGGTCGTAGACCCAGCGCTGGTCTTTGATGCCTTTGCCAGTATACTTGGTGTTGGTGAAAGGAACGAGGAACTCGAGCTCGATGCCAAAGGTGTACGGGGACAAGTCTTTTTCGTCTTCGAGGTTGATGGCGGGTTTGCGAAGGCGGTGGCTGTCGAGTTCCGGAACGAATGGGTTCCGGCCCAGAGGTTCGTAATATGCTGCTTGTGCGTGGAGGTTAATATCTTCAAGAAATTGAGTCGTCGTGTACGAACCAGAGAAGCCAAACGTAGAGATGGGTAGCTTCAGCTGTCCAACCACACGTTCTACTTGATCCTCAGTTTCGTTCAGGCAAAAGTTGATGATGCCGTGACATACCTTGATCCAGTTCTCGATGGCGGCAGAGTCCAATGTCCCAGCGTGCTGAGAAAAACCTATGGTTCTCTTCGTAGGGTCTTTGTCAAGGAGTCTGGAAAAGTCGTTGGCGCCAGGGAAGATGCCTGCTTGACCTTCCCAGTCCCTGATGTGGATTTCGGTGCCACTAATGATATCATTGAAGCTTTCGGCGGTATTGACGCGGACGATAGCTTCGTTTTCAATGTCTAGCCCGCGGATAGATGGTGGTTCGAGCATGTTGACCTTGTTAGCAGTTGGTAAACCACGGGTGAAGAAGGCCTCGGTGGGCTCACCGCGCCATTCGGCATCAGAAAGGAAGGCGTGCAGATCGGTGCTGAACATACGTGCAAACTCAAGACCAGGAGCAACTAGTGAGCCTGGCCCACAGTATGGCGCATGTAGCTCGTTCAGGCAAGGTGAGGCGAACCATAGAAAGTTGAGGATACGACGGACTTCTGGGAGGGTGAAGTCTTCATCCTTGGGCTTGACATCAACGCGGAGGCGCGGAATCTCGTTCAAGGCGATGGTGAGGTTCCTCGAGACCTTGAGAGCGGAACAAATTGAAATGATTATGGCCGAAGTCTGCGGGATCATAGGCATTAGCGGAGAACGAATACGGGCGAGGTGCCATCTGGGGGACCCAAGTATGTTGAGCTCTTGCTCGTTCAACGAGACATTCCAAACACCTGGATCAGGGTCCTGATGGTTTCCAGCACCATCTGTGGTCCCGATTGATGTAGGTAGATCTATCTGGTGGAGACCGTTGGCAATGATTCGGGCTAGATCTTGTCGTTCTTCTTCGATCACACTTTCGTAGATGATACGGTCCACGACGCTGGCGTTTGGAGACCGACATGCTGCCAGTGACGATGCCTCCTTATCGGGACGTTGAACGAGGAATTGAAGCACAAAGCTGATCTTCAACTGTCTGTCGCCACTGGATCGCTGGAGCCTCTCCATTTTCTCCAGTTCCCTGGTTTTCTTGCTGTAAGTTTGCTGTTTAGGGATACTCTCGAGCTTTGGTTATCGTGTTGTGATTTTGTTTGTTTGCTGTGGTCCAGAAATCTTTGGTTATCTACATCTATCATGAAAAATGTTGTTTTTTATGAGGACTTGTCTGTAATATTTATCAAACACCATGATGTAGTTTCCAGCACTCCCAATTTTTTGGTGCCTAGGTTCCAGCGAATCGCAACAATTGAACTTGTCGCTTTGTGATAATTGCACAAAGACATCGTTCCATTGGACAAAGTACAATTGGTTTGTTAAAGAACTGACAAAGACATATTGAAAGTGCTCCATTTCGAGAACAGCTGCCCTATGATACAATTCCTTGTCGTTGAGTAACCGTTGACCTCGGTCAATTCGGTGTAGCATTTCGGTGAGTTCGGTGAGACTATCGGTACCTGTGTAGGGCCTTTCGCGCTAAGCCCTTTTGGAGCTGGACCTGGGTCGGGAAACGCCGACCTGATTTTTCTGACGCGCCCTGCTGCTCTCCAATGCAATTCCAACGCGATCCACATCTCACAATCGGTGCAGCGCTCCCCTTCCAGCCTCAACACCACGGATACTTCCATCGGCGCGCAACGAGGCATCCGGCGATACAGCTCCACACGCACCCAACTTCAGTCGCCAGAATTATACGAAACGCTAATTCGTGCTAAACGATTGCCCTAATCCGCGCAGTCTCGTCTCGTCTCGTCTCTCCCTCGAAGTGTCCCCGGCCACTTCTCTGCCGCCCATCGTCTTGCGACAACCTGCCATGACCCATTGGGTCTCATAGTCTCCCACCATGGACGCCCGACCGAAGCCCCAGGCGTTTCTCTCCACCTATGCGCCTCGAATCCGCGCCTACAACAACTCTCTCCTGACCCCGAACGTTGCCAGCGCTCCGACCACGACCAACTCCCGGGTGACAAAGCGCGGTACAACCATCATCAACTACGCGGAAGACGGCTACGATGAAATCGACGATGACGAGGACAGCGGCCGTCGTCGTCCTACCGGTCTACGCAGCCTGAGAAGACAGGACGATTCGGCAATCAGCCAGGATCTGCTGGACAAGGCTGGAAAGGACACGGACGAGCCTGTCGAAGTACAGGGCATCTGGAGAGATTGGTTCGGCAAGGGACGCCAGGTGCGAAATGACCAACAGAACTCGGCGCAAGCAGATCTGCCTTTGACCTTGATCCCCATCCGAATCGAGCTCGATATTCCGTCCTTCTTGCCCCAGGTCGCCTTTCCTTCGGCGCCTCACACCGTCGACACATCTCTCCCGCAATACCGAGCGCAAGAAATGACGCCGCCCTACCGGCTCCGCGATACCTTCCTTTGGAACCTGCACGAGACGGTCATCACGACTGAACAATTTGCGCAAACATACGTCCAAGACCTCGACTTGCCGAACCGTCACAACCTTATGCTCGATATTGCCAGGCAGATTCGGACCCAGCTTGAGGAATATGCCGGTGTTGCCCTGCATCCCTTGTTTCACGCGCAGTCACAGAACTCTGGAACCAACGACGCGACCAAGTCGAACTCGATGATCAACCAGGACGAGACACCCACGCCTGCCGCGGTGATCAGCCGCTCCGACACTCCGATGCTAAACGGCGGCATTGGAACGCCATCCCGAGTCAAGGACGCGACATCAGCACCAGACGTGACAGCCCACGCAAGCCCTATTCCGGTCGACTCGGACGATTATGACCATGACGACGCCTACCGATGTATTGTCACTCTCAATATCAACCTCCAGTCAGCATTGTACACGGACAAGTTTGAGTGGTCTCTGCTGCACCCCCCGGGCATGCCGGAGGCCTTTGCCAGTCAAACATGCCAAGACCTTGGATTGACAGGCGAGTGGGTTCCTGCCGTCACACACTCCATTTACGAAGCAGTATTGCGCCTGAAGAAAGAGGCCTGCGAAGCGGGTGGACTGGTAATGGGCTGGAACGGAGTCCGCGAGTTCCCCAACGATGCCACGGCTGGAGCTGACGCCGGATGGCGCTACGATCCGGAGAATCTAGCCGATCCCTGGGAGCCCAAGGTCGAGATCCTCAGCAAGGAAGAGATGGAGAAGCGAGAAGGCGACAGAGAGCGGCAAATTCGCAGACTCCGTCGCGAGACTGCTCGCTTCAGCTCAACTACTGGCTTGGTGGGCGGCGTGCCATTCTCTGGATTTGGCAACGTGGTGGAAGCTCCGGAAGAAGAACGTATGGGCAGAGGCGAGCGGTCCAAGAAGAAGCGTCGCTTCCGCAGTCTGAGCCCGATAGGCCGATCTGGAACCCCTGGTGGACGCGGAACGCCAGACGTGGGATCCGGATATGGTGCAGGCAGCGGCTTGACTGACACGGAGCGCTTATCTTGGAGATGCTGGCACTGCTGTCTCTGGGGCTCAAGTGTGTGGGCGGTGAGACCTGGACCTGCAGGACCACGGGTAAGTTCCCAATCTGGTAATGAAGAAGGCATGTGGGCTAACAGGAAAACAGTCACTATGCCAAAACTGTGGATTGCTATACGAGCGGGATGGCAAGCTGCCCCGCCAAACGAAGAATATGCATTTGACGGTCATCCGAACAGCATGAGAGAACAAGATGGAGCTTCTCCCTTGTCATTTCGTGAGCGACGACGTCGGTACCATTTTGCAAACAGGACGAAAACGAGGAGAAGAGAGAAAGAGCATGATCCGGGGTGAAGGACGCATCGGATGGTCCAGGAGGAGAACTGTGCGCTGTGGGCCAGTTCTTTGTGTACATGATGCGCAGGCGGCGGCGGTTCTGGCAGGCAGGCGTTTTACTGGGGATAATCTGGCCCTGGCCTACTGGGCAGGGCAGTCAAAGGAGTCCGGCTGCGAGCAGGGTTGTGCGATATTCCACTTGTTTTCGGGCTAATTAAGATCGAGGTGTCCCTTTGTCGTAGGGGAAGTATTGTAGACTATGTGTAGGGATTCAATACACACACAGACAAGCATCGTTTAGGCCACCATTCCAGGCAAGGTTGAGTACGTCAATAAACGACGATGAGATGATATTGTCAGTAGAGGGGCATCTCGAAACTGGAATAAGGGTACTGTGTGTATTTGACTGTGTGAGAAACCGCTCAACACAGTCCCCTCACTCATTCAAACACTTGGATCTTCTCATCTCTCAAACACCCTCAGCTATCATTCTTCATCTTAAAAGAAACACGTGAAGGCCGCTCATCTTCCCGACGACCGCCCGTCATTCCGAACTCATTTCCGAATTCACCAAAGCAGTACAGTCAGGCGAATACCCGCGGCCAGCGACAGGTCACATGTTTCCCTGCCCAACGGCCAGCGAGTGCGACGTCGTGGCAAAGGAAATGGCCAGAGATACCGAATCGGGACGAGAAAAACCACGGAGCTCGACCACCGTCAGCCTCCGCAATTTCTCCCACAGAAAAACTTGACGCTTTCCCCTTGTTGGCATGTCATGTCACCGGGTAAACCCTTTGATGGGGTAAGGTAGAGTTAGAGTTAGGCTCTTCTTCTTCCTCTCTCCCGTCGATTTCTCAACGCGTGTCCTCCCTCTGCTCCCAAACTAGGTACTATGTGGAGAAACCAACTGGCTAAACAGCCCTCCTCTCGCTCGCCCCTGGTTTGCCGACTCGGAGACGAGTCACTGGGATTTCTCCGGGCGGTACCTGACTTCCAGGCTGGCCTGTGAGGCGGCATCGCCTCGCCCTGGCCCGTCACTTTCCAATCTGCGCGTATCACAGATCTGTGAAGGGCGTGTAGTGGTGGTGGTAGTGGGGGGAAAGTGGCTGCTCGCTTCTGCGCCTATGCCGAAGGGGTGGAATCTGCGCATGGTCAAGTGACTCTGGCTTCTCCACCATGGGATTGCCGCAGACAGCTGGGAATGAGAAGACTCAAACTCTTTGAGAAGGACGGCCGGCCAGCCGACGGGAGCTGACTTGAGGTTTCTGTTCTATGGACCCATTGAGCTGCGCCCGAAGGCGCTCGATACCAAGCTCGCGCTTGGCTTCCATCGCTGAAAGAGGGAAACGAGAGTCAGCTTTTGCGCGTCGTTGTGCTGGGCACCGCCCGACATTCGCGGTGATTCCAGGTTCCGTTGGATATGTTCGGACTCGATCTGACTCGTTGGCGATAAGCGGATCTACCAGCCTTTCGCTCGCCTTCATCAGATGAGACATGCTTGCGTTCATCGGATGTTAACGACGTTCATCCCGTCATCGTTCGCTCCAAAGAGGCGAACTACGATATTACCAGCCACACCACCCATCAAATACGCGAGTGAAAGGGTCTCTGTCGCATCCCGCTCCTTTCCGGCTTCAGTTCGATGCTGTCCCATATTGCGGCGGCCCGGCTGGTGCCGACGATGACGGGTTGCGAAGGGGAAGGGTTTCATGTTCCTGAGCTCTTGAGGCCAACCGCATGGAAGTCCAGGAAGACGGGCCCGAGATCGAAGGAGGGCTACTCATCTATGTATGCTACCTCACGATAGATTGCGTGTGCAGTCTGCGTGTCGTGTGCCTACGATAAGGCACCTCTTACAAGCGCTCACGGCTCTCGTTCCCTTTGTTGCCGGCCAGCCCAGCTTGTCGGCTCAGCATCCGGAGGGGCTCTTCGTCAAGCTGTCGTGAGACTTCCAGGAATAGCTAATGCCGCCCCACGAGGCTCATTGTCTCGGCTTCGAAAGCGTTCGTGTCCCGATAGCTCCAAGGCGGTGCTCCATAAGGCAGGATGCTTGCCTAAGCATGCTGCTACGCACGGAGTGGCTCTCGATTCGGATGTACGCAAGGGGAAAAGAGCTCATCAGTACCTGACTTCTTGCAGCCATCTCACTACGGCACAGCGAAGATCCCTCAGATCTATCTTCGCTTGAGGCACTCCGGAAACCCATGCTCCAGGGGCGGATGCCCTTCGCCTACCAAAGCCTCTTCGCTTGTGAAGCTATTATCGGCGAGGTCCTAGATGATCAGAGTGAGATGGTCGTTTAAAGGACGACGTTGAATTTGTCGCGGCTATTAATGCTGATCACCACCAAATCCGGTGAACGCTCTGGACCTTTGCCACGGCTTGCTACATTTGGAGGCTGAGCTCAAGCTTCTCAAGCTTTTTGGCCTCTTGGTCGCCCAGAAAGTTTAGTTCTCTGGTCATCACGGGTAAATTCAAAAGCCTCTTGGCAAGTTGCGACGTGGGGCCGTTGCGTCTCTAGGCAGTAGAGGCACTTTCTTGCTCAACGTCGGAACCGCGTGTCGTTGAGTGACATCGCACCGTGATGAACTCCAAGAAAGGGGTTCCTACAATATCCGTACCGCAAGACCGAAGTACCGCAGTCTCTTCTGTCACATACACTCAGATTCAAGGTACAGTCACACACACCTGCAGAGAGGCAACGTGACCAGTCAGTCATAAGTGGTGTGGTGGCAGGCCCTGCTCTTAACGCATGCAATATGGGACAGCACCTCCCGCCTCCAAATTGAATCAGGGCTCCATTGAATCTCGCCCCAATTTGTTTCTGAACCCATCGGTCTGGTAGGCATTGATTGCCATTGATTGAAAGCGTTGATCAATTAATCAAGTACGTAAAGTTTAGAGAGCCAAGCTGGGCCCAGCATATTGGCAACACAGAGCCGCTTCGCTTGTCGAAAGAGCTTGACGACATCAATGTTCAAAGACGAAACTCTCGTCAACGACATGTCTGAACACCACGGAGATTCGACCCTTGCTGTCGTCCCAGAGAATTAAAAATGTGGCGTTCTCTCTCCACACAAGCAAGGAACCGAGCGGGCGCGTGGCAGTCAGTGCCGGATGGCTAATAGGGTTATGCGGGGAGAAGGTTCTCTCTTCCCGCTCATGATGTGCAAACGCAAAAGTCGGGAAGCCTGGGGGCGGGCGATCCCTGCAAACTGCGGGGAGCGAGATGCCTAAAACAACTCTTCGCGTATCTCTAATTCTGTTATCAGTCGAATCATTAGAAGGGGGCTCGAAGCCGTAGCCTCAAGGTAAGGTACTTCTCAAGAGGGTGTGAAGAAGATGTGTGTGAGAGTGAGAGGTGAGGCTTTCGCTCAAAATCACTCAAGTGAAGTCAAACTGACAATGTACCAAAGTCTGGCGGGATCTTCGGGAAGCCATGAAGATCACGAGGGATGCACAATTCTCTTTTTTCCTCATGCTAGATGATCCAGGTTATGCCATCTCACGATATCGGCCTCCCACTTTGTCAAATAAAAAAAATCCTACTTTTTCTTTTGTGACGATTCGAGGCGCGTAGTACTCGGCGGAAGGCCTCCGTGCTGTGCGCAGGGGTAAGAAAAGTGCTCCAATGAGGAAAGCCACGGGGACAGGTCCGCATTGGGACGAGAAACTTACCACCACCTCAACTCACCTCATCTCTCTCTCACACACACACACACACATGGCACTCATTTTCTGTGCGACCCGGTTCTCCGTAGTGAGAATGGGATGAGTGAGTGTGTGACCAGCCGCATGGCCGGATGTGACATCGTGTCATTTCTCTCCCTGGTTCGGGACTGAGGGCGAGAACATGCGAGCCCACGTATATGGGCTTAACACACCTTATGCTGGCAAGCGGGTGAAATGAGTGGGTTGCCGCTCATACATTCTCCGTCTCGGTTCCGACTACTATGAGCATACTCATTACTACTACTCTTATTCTTTCGGTTCCTTGCTTTCTACCCATTCAATTAGTAATACTTTCTTATAAGCTTAGGAGAGGAGAATAGTGAAGGTAGATGTGATAGAAAAGAGTGTTGCTCATGTATTGGCCGGCATACTCTCTGGTCACCCACTCGGCTAGGTCCTGTCTGTACCTTGCGGCTTACCCCAAGTTTGAAAGAAAAGCGGTGCAGTTTCTCCAATTGCCTATTCGGGCAAGCAAAGCACAAACTTTGGGTTGACGACGACGCATCGTGGGAGCCGTGGTTCCTGGCACTTACACGCGCTACCCCCCTCCCGCTTCCATGCTCCATACCACCTAGGCTGCCAAGCCTAAGTCAATGTGTGTAAGTGTACCCCTTGAATATGGTCAGTTCAACTACAGCTGGTACCTTGGCTCCAGATCTTTTGCGGCCCGGATGCCGTGAGCTCCTTCGGATCCTCGTTTCCTCGTCGCTAGGCTAGTCGATCATGGGGTTGGATGTCACATCGAACCAAGCTTGAAGAGTGGAACGCGGCTGTACAAGAGGCGAAAGACTCGGAATCCGACGGCAAAGTATCATCAAAGACTATCGAAATATCCCTATATAAGTCCATCGAAACTCCTCATCCAGAAAATCCCATTCCCTATCCCTCTCATCCTCATCCCCAAACACCCTTCCCTCCCTCAACACCACCACAGTCCAAGCATTCAAGATGCAGACCAAATTCGCCGCTCTCCTCGCCCTCGCGGCCGCCGCCCGCGCCCAGCAGGCTTGTACCTCCCAAGCCGAGACCCACCCCGCCCTCACCTGGCAAAAGTGCGCGGCCGGAGGCACCTGCACCAACGTCGCCGGCTCCGTCGTCCTCGACTCCAACTGGCGATGGGCGCACACCGTCGAGGGCTCGACAAACTGCTACACCGGCAACACGTGGAACGACACT